CACACACACACACACACACACACACACACACACACACACACACACACACACACACACACACACACACACACACACACACACACACACACACACACACCCCCACACACCCACACACCCACACACCCACACACCCACACACCCACACACCCACACACCCACACACCCACACACACACACACCCACACACCCACACACCCACACACCCACACACCCACACACCCACACACCCACACACCCACACACCCACACACCCACACACCCACACACCCACACACCCACACACCCACACACCCACACACCCACACACCCACACACCCACGCACCCACGCACCCACGCACCCACGCACCCACGCACCCACACACCCACACACCCACACACCCACACACCCACACACCCACACACCCACACACCCACACACACCCACACACCCACACACCCACACACACCCACACACCCACACACCCACACACCCACACACACGCACACGCACACGCACACGCACACGCACAAACACAAACACACACACACACACACACACGAACACACAACTTGGCGTTGTTTAGCGGTTGCGTGGTTGAGTTGGGTGGGACTGCAGGGTCGGGCGGGTTTAGCGGGTCCGGGTGCGTGGTTGTTGGGTAGGGCGCTTCTGCAAGGTCGGGCGGGTAGAATTACTACACTTGGCTCGAAGTCACATGCCACAAGCCCTTCATATCTTTGTCAATTTGCCATTGACAGCCAGCGCCATGAGCCGGACACGCATCGATGCTTTGGAGCTTCAAGTGGAAGAGTTCGCGCAAGCCCTGGCAGAGCTTCGGGTCTCGGAAGAGAAGGAATTCGGAGCATGCGAACGTTTGGAGGCTCAGCACCACTTTTGACGTCTGAGACAAAAAACAATTTTTGGATTTGGGTCCCAAAACCCAAAACAGCCAAATTCTTCAACCAGCTGAACGTTTTTTCGATGTTACCGGTCTTTGTCACCGCTCCGTTTTTGGTGCAAAAAGCGCTTAAAACGGCAACTCTGAAAAGTTTGTTTTTAATTGGTCCCTACAAGCCTTCTTTCCTTACTACTACTGCCTGCGTTGCAGCAGCCCTCCAGAAAGCCAAGTTCACACTGATTGGCGCCTTCCTGTTAGGTTTCATTTTCGCCCGGCTCAGCTATAAATTGGGACTCTTCCGGCGCCTCGCGTGATCTGATTATTCGTCTCTTGGTCGAGGGCCGTGGCCTTAGAGGCGACTGTCATCAGTTTCAAGTCAGTGGCCCTGGCCTGCGGGTCCGCCCAGTGGGCCATCGTAATGCAGCGGTCCACACCCATCGTACCGGACCTACAGCCCAACATCCTGCAAGACATTGCCGACCTCCGCGAGGCCATGTCGGAGAACTCTGGTTCGAGACACTTCCGGACCACTGCAAAAGAGCATATCGACAACCAAACATGCTCACACTTCTGACGCGACTCCTACTACCCACAGACACAGTCGCTACACGAAGAGATGTCCAACGGCTTCGACCTACTCGGTCAATTGAAGCCCGGGAGTAACTGGCACATCCGCCAGGACCACAAATACCTGACCCCGTGTAACCTGGCCGAATTGCGCTCCTTCAGTGCACACTGTATGTAGCGGTCTGTTGTATGGTGGTACGGTTGGTCGTGCGTGGAGCATGTTTGGCTATGTCCTCTGCGTCGCCAACCCTCGCCTCTGCGGATCTTGGCTTTGCCGTCGGAACCCGTCTGTTGTGTGCTAAGGCAATGGCTACAATGGGATCAGGGTGTGGTAGTGGAAGGAGTGTGTCGGTGTGTTTGAAGGTGAGCAGGGGCACTGTCTTGAGAGGCCAATGTGTCGGGGCAACGAAGGGGCCTGCCATCCGACCCTGCTCGACCTCTTTGGCAATCTCGGTGGCCATGAGGGTCCCGTGGTCCACCAACAACTACATGTGTGGGGGCACGACCATGACGGCGCATACCGGCAGTTTTCTCTTGCGCAACCGGAGGTAGCGTATGTTCTCCTCCTGACCCCGGACTGGCATCACCACGTGTTACTCTTCGGGTCCGCTGCCAGCGTCTGGGGATACAACCGCTTTGGGGATGCCCTCGCCGCTTTGGCAAGGGTACTTACTCTCACACCTGCCCTTCACTACGTCGATGACTGCGGCGCCATTCAACCCACGAGCATCTCCCACAGCTCCTTCAGAGCATTCAGCAAACTGAACTCGCTACTTGGCTTCCACATGAAGGCCTCCAAAGAACAACCACCAGCTCCGTCACACAAGATTCAAGGAGTCTCCAACGACCTGTCCGACACACAGGCAACCTTAAGACCTTGTCCAGACCGTGTGCGACACCTGATACGAACACTGTCCCAATGCCTCGAACAAGGACATATGAACAGCGACACAGCGCGCCGCACAGGGAAGTGCAACTACCTTCAATTGTGCGAATACGAGGCGGCCAAACACGCTATTCGCAGACCAGCATTTGAACTGCCTACTCGGGGCCCACTGAACATGGCACAATCGCCAACAATTGCAATTGTACATTGCACGAGTGCCCACGCATGCCAACATTGCTGACCCATTCAGCCGGCATGATATGTCTTTGGCTCATGAACATGGCTGGCAAGTTATGCAGCCGCCCATGCACGCGTTGCACAGACGCACGTGCCGTATCATAGGCGACATTGAATTCGCCACAACGTCGGATTCGACGAAATGCCGGAGCTCCAAAAGTTCCACCAATCCCATACCACACAACGTGACCCAGAGAACGTCCACTCCCTCTCGTACAACATTTTGGTTTGCGTGCTTTTGGCATTTGCTTACCTTTTCATGTGTTGTACTCTTTTGAGTCAGTGGTGTCTAAGAGACACCGAGAACGACTCCAGAGAATATATGCTGATCGACCAACAGGTACGATCCCACCCACTTGAGGCAGTGTGGTGAAAAAAGCAGTGGGCCCGACGCTGGTTGCCGTCGACTTCTCTGGAGCGTCTCGTTGTTGCGGCTAACACCTGTGTTAAAAGTAACAACTGCAAGCGAAAGGGCTTGAACATGTACTTGAATTGGAATTTCAAGTACTGCGCATTGCATGAGACAAATGCATGTGCTCCGATCGCCATTTTGGCGAAAAGACCTTTTCATTCCCACCCCGCCTCACCTTTCTTTTCACTGCATGCCTCCAGTACCTATTGGTCACTGAATTCAGCATTCATCGAGCGGACGGGAGAACGTCCACTCCCTCTCGATACCTTGCTGTACAACATTTTGGTTTGCATGCTTTTGGCATTTGCTTACCTTTTCATGTGTTGTACTCTTTTGAGTCAGTGGTGTCTAAGAGACACCGAGAACGACTCCAGAGAATATATGCTGATCGACCAACAGGTACGATCCCACCCACTTGAGGCAGTGTGGTGAAAAAAACCGTGGGCCCGACATGGCCCGACGCTGGTTGCCGTTGACTTCTCTGGAGCGTCTCGTTGTTCTGCCATGCCATTCCATGGCATATGCTTCTCACGATTATATGCAACTCGAATTGAACTATTGCAGCACCATGTCATTTTGTTGTGTCTCATCATGTTGTGCCAAACTCTGTCAACTTGATCATGTCTGCGTGCAGCTTAGAACGGTTCATATTGCGATTGTAGTTCACATCACCTTCGGGGATCTTAGTTCATTAATTACATTTGCCGCCGTGCATTCTTGGGGCCTCTTGATTCCGCCAATGTGCACCGCGTAAAAATGGTTGCATTGCCAGGCCTGTGGGCCTAATGGTTGCCCACGCTTTGGCTCCAGCGACAGTGCGGAGGTCTTGGATTTGTGGTGGCGTGAGCAGTCAGGAGCTTGGTTGAAGCAATTGCCCTGAGACATGCCTAGCAAATAGCTTGCAGGTCACACGGACAGAACGGCTGCATGACTCGTCCGAGGCAGAACCGGTTCTTCTTCACCTCACTGCCTGACCCGGATGACCTCTCCACGTGTGCCCGGGAGTATGACTCTGAGAAGTTCTGCGGTACAAAGAGCCCCGAGAGCTTGGTTGTAGTGTTGAGCTCTTTGTGCCGATTTCAGGAGGTCTTTCCTTCTCGTCTTGGCATTGTGATGTCTGATGTGCGGGACATGGGCTTGTCTATTGGGCACAGCCTGGTGGCTTTCATTCTGCAGAGGTTGGGTGCCACGAAAAGCTGGATGAACTTCTTTCATACCTACATGACAGGATTCACCATACAGTTTGGGAAAGAGGAATTGAGTATGAGAGCCAAGCGTGGGCTGCTGTTTGCCCATTCCATCAGCCACGTTTTGTCGGAGCTCGTCCTCTTTTGCCTGGACCTTGCCATGGCGAAGGCGGGGCCACCCTTGGTGCGCTACCATGACGACTTCGCCTTCTACAGCCGGACTGACCTGTCGGAGCAGTGGGCAGTTTGCTGTCGCGCCTTGAAGGGGCTGGGGCTGAGCCCGAACTTGGAGAAGAGTGGCAGCCTGTGGCTGCGAAACAGCCAGGAGACACAGGAACATTTGGAGCCAAAGGGTCCCCCCGGCCCCGTGGAGTGGCGCGAGCTCCGCCTGAATGCTTCAGGCACGTGGGAGGTGAAGGATGGAGCTGTCCAGCGCTGCCTCACGCCTTTGGACTCCAGCGCGCCGATTCTGCGGCTAGTGAATGACCGCAATCGGCAGTTGGCTTTCTTGAAGAGCCGACTGGGCCCTATGTGCATGGCATTGGGCACTCTTCACGCAAAGTCTGTATCTTGCTTGCACTTGTATCACTTGTTCACTTCAGTGGGCTGCTTGAATGCGCCACTTTCTGCTGGGCCTGCTTTTTGCTTAGGTCTCCAGAACCTTGGAGGATGCAGAGCGCTGTCTTTGCGGTGCCGGCCAGAGTTTTGTGGAGCTTGTCAGCCAGGCACAGCAGCTGCGTGACCATGGTGTTTGTTCGAAGAGCTTGCTGTCAGCTTCGCTGCTTATGCCGCATTGACATAGCATGTGTTGATGCCTGTGACATAAGCACAGCTTTGCTCATCTCGCGCCATACGCCTTACTATGATTGCTGCTCCATGACTTGTCCACGATGCTGCCTGACGACTTGCGTCGGCTGGACGTAGCGCTGTGATTTTGCCTGTGTCACGGTGACTGTAGTGCTGCCTGCATCCTCATGATGCTGCCGGCATACTTCCATTTTGGTGAGCTGCTGCCGCATACGTAATCATGACTCCAGCACCCTGATGATTCCTGCGTCATTGATGCCGCGTAGCCTGCCCATGCTTGAACACACCCTGTCTTCCTGGTCTCGACCCTATCTTGGTATAGTGTCTTCCCGGAGCCTTTGATCACTGGAACATAACATACTGGTGCCCACCGATTTCATCTCCCTCGGCTGCAAGGAGCTCAGGACGCGGTTCCCGCAGGAAGCTCGCCAGGCCACTTGGCGGGAAAGTGTCGCAAGCGGGGGGGCTTCATGGGGAGCGGGTGTGATGGAGCTTCGGGAGTTCTAAATTACTTGTACCAGCTCACTTGCATCTTTGGCTGTGCTGGTCTACATTCCTTGTGTTTGTGGTTGCCTCGCGGTCCTCTTTTTGTCTGGTTTGTGTTTCTGTTTTTGCCGAGCAAGGAATGCCAGGGAGCAAACGAGTGAATGACAGTCTGCCTTGTGGGGCCCATCTTGGAAGGGGAATTCAGGCCTCGAGCCCTCCTGCCAGACCAAGGAAGTGCTGGTGGAGGGCTGGTTCCACTGGCCCTTGGGTGCTGGAGGCCTCTTTGCAGAGCATCCTGCGCTGCGAGCGCAGTGTGCCAATCTCAGATCGCTTGAAACATGCTCCGCCTCGCAAGGGCAGAGTTGAGCGGGCTTCGCCGCTTCGCCGCTTCGCCGCTTCGCCGCTTCGCCGCTTCGCTCGGAGGTGTGCTCCGGAGCCTGCAGCAGGGCAAGGTGGGTCGTGGCAGGGAGAGGCGATCTAGAAGCAGAAGCCCCCGACGCAGATCCCGAAGGTCACGTAGCCGGAGGTCACGTAGCCGGCGGTCACACAAACGAAGCCTTCGCAGCTGGTCGGCGGGTTTGCGCTGTGTTGTTCCTTCGCCCAATGCTAGATTGCTGCCTTTGCCTCGTCGCGAAGTGCCGGAGGGATGGCAGGTGTTCCTTGAAAGGCGCGGCAACTTTGCTACTCCTGTGGAGTTCGAGGTGCATGTGAGGAGGGTACCTGACCAAAGGTTCAACCTGGACAACTGTCAGGCCTATGCAGAATTTCTCAAGAACTGGTGGTGCAGCACAAGAAGTGCATTGGATGCCTTTTGGCACTTCCCAGCGCCAGAAGCCGACCCAGTCGTTCTTGACCGCGCTTTGCAGGATCTCCTTGACGACTTCTTGGAAAGAACTAAGGGGTTTGAGAATTTTGGAGGTTACGCAGCTCACGGGTTGAGCGGCTACGTGCAGAATTTGGTGGCCAAGTACGGAGCTGAGCTGCGGCAGGTTTTCGGCACACTTGGTTTGATCCCCGCAGACCTTGTGCCGCACTCCCTTTTGCGGCGCATTCGGCAGTGAGCGCCGATCACTCCAGCCCCGTGCAGCTGGGCTGTGACACGCGGACAATCTGCTGCAACGCCCTGGTCCATTTCCGAGTCATTCACCAAGGGCGGATGCCCCACCGTTGTACAGACGAAGGCGGCAAACAGAGCGAAATCGGGCAGGCAGGCAGGTGGGCGGGCAGGCAGGGAAGACGCAATTAACATTTTCCCGACATGCGGCTTGCAAGTGCGAAGCCTCAGCAATTTAGTGCCAACCATGCCAATTGGAGTGGCAGGTTAACAGGAGCGACCTGTATGGCTGGGACTCATGTTGCCACGCATGCGAAGCACCCGGTGCTCTGCCAGGGGTTTCGGAGTTACCGGAGCTTCGGGCTGTGCCCTGTGTCCAGCTCGACTGCCCTCGATGATCGGAGCACCGCGTATCTGGGTCTTGTGCCATGACAGCCCGTCGCGGCTTCGCTGGGGAGTTGCGTGCTGCCTTGCTTGTCGCAGCGTGAGTCGTTGCGACTGCAGAATAGACTACTGGCAAGACGTCAGAAAGGAAACGGTTTGACCCTAGATATTAAAGAAATCGCAGTTTAGAATGTAAGTAAGGGCAATAGAGTCATCATATCATGATTGCACATGCGAGTCCATGTAAGATAGATAGATAGCGTGCTCATTTCACAGGTGGATGCATTGGATGCTCATTTGCTCCGCACACCCCAGCGTAATTCGCGCACAAAAAGGTTTGACATGAGACGTCTGTACAAGTGCGTGGTTCAGAAGTGTGCGCCGGTTGCTATTGCTGTATGCTTCAGCAGCGTTCGCATAGTCGGCTCTTACGCAAGAGTTGAAAAAAACTCAGGAAATTGTATGAGGTATAGATGAACAGGTGGTCAGTGATTGTGGAAAAAGACCGAGGAGAAAGATGTATGCATACCTGACCAACATAGCTTCACTAATGTATTCTTCCACTGCCCGAGGCTCCAGCTCCGCAGCGCCTGGGCGCCGGAGCCCCTGCGGCTGTGTCCGCGGCCCCGCGTGCGACGGGCGCTGGCGGCGTGCAGTGCACCGCTGCTCGGCGGCCGGCGTTGGCTCTCTGAGCCATATGGGACTTCTCCCAAGGGCCCCCATGCAACTAATGGGAATGAACCTTGAAGACGGCTCCTCCGCACGCCGCTTGCGGTGAATTGGGAAGCTGCTAGGGGAGCGAATGCGCACAGGCGTTGTGGCAGCTTGCGGTTCGAAAGCAGTGCCGGCATGAGGCTTCATGATGCCGAGCGAGTGCATGAGATTCTGCCTCATGCGCTGGAAGACTGGTTGAACTACCATTTTGCCATCGGCATCGAGCATTTCACCGTTCCTTTGGCTGCTTCAGCTCGGTCTGCTGAAATTGGCACTGCTTTGGCATGTCTTCCAAGCCGGTCGTGGGAAGCACTACCTGCATCAAATGCCAAGCGGTTAAATATGTCTTGAGTAGCACGGGCCATGGGGACATGGCAGGCTGTGTTGGCAGGAGCTATGTGGCGAGCTGGCAATTTAAATGGGAAGTATGCAGTGGTGTGCTACTTATGAGCTTTAGCGCCTAGCCCCCCCCTCCCCCCATTGTCTCAAAACAACCTGTCAACGCCTGGCTGTATGTGGAGGGAACAAGGGGAAGGAGGGGCGGGGGAGGGGATTTTCAGTTGCTATATGTCACCACTTTGATTTTCCATAGCATGGTCGATGCTTCCGGTGCTTCTTACCATTTCAGCTCAATCCCTTCCTGCGAGGTTTTCGACACGGACGGGCAGCCTGGTGGCAGTGTTGGGGAAAAAAAGCTACGGCTCTGTATTAACCTTGCCGAGTAAAACCTATGCTCCGCAAGATGAAAGCCAGTTGAAGGAATGCCCTGCTTTACGCAATAGGAGGGTTCTTGGGCGACGCCCGACGCTCTGCCTTGCGGCCCGCGAAAGCTTTTGTGCAGTGAGCCTGGGAGCATGTCGGAGCATGCGGTGAGACGCATGTCACGAACATCGGAAACAAAGGTGGCCGCGAGGCTACCTACATCCCTCGCATGTTTTCGAACGGCCCGAGAATCGTGGCAGAAACTCCGTCCTAGGTAAATGCTCACCTGTTTGAGTTGACTTCCTGAGACGCCCGAAAGCTGTGGACGGTTTTTTGCGCTGGAGAGACAACCCTGGCGATCAGCTTCCGGAGAGGCAGCTTGAAGGGACTCCAGACGCAATCCCGCGATCTACGACCCAAACATTCAAGCCGCGTACCAAAACCAACTGCCAAATGAGCTCAAAAATCAGATACAACTCCCACAACGTACAGATACAAATGATATGAAATTACACGAACCACTACCACTCCCACTCCCACTAGCACTGCCACTACCACTACCACTACCACTCCCACTATGATATGAAGTCACTTTTCAGGACGACTCAGGTCCTACGAGCCCTACCTGCGGCGCTTCGTGGACGTCGGCCTGGTGTCCTACCGCGGCCGCTTCCCGGGGCTTGTGGCACCCAAGCTGGGCCTAGCCAGCGCCGGGTTGAAGCGTCCAGAGCAGCAGCGCCACTCGAACAGATTCGCGTTGTCCATTTTGTTCTTCTTCTCTTTTTCTTGTTTCCCTTTTCTTTTGGGGAGGTGTATTGTATTGTTCTTCTTTTAAGTCTTGCAGGGGCTTTTTGCTCCTTTTCGCGGCGGTTTGATGTTGCCGTGTGCTTCTTATTGTGTTTGCGGATTGCGCAGGCTGAAGCTAAACCTACAGCAAGCCCTTTGGAGACCCCCGGCCCTTGCCTTTGCTTGACAAGGCTTCGACCTTTTCAACCTTAGAGGAAGGTTTTATATAAAGGAACCCACGGGTCAGATGCTGCGCCAAGGCAGGATGCTGATGGAACCACATGCTCTGGAGCAGCTCGCCTAGACACTTTGCACTGGTGAGTGCGCCGGAGGTGCTGACTAGATTTCTAGTGTTTTTTTGTATGACCGTGTCCTCCAAGGCTTTGTGTGTGGGAGAACCGGCAGGTTGCTGACTGGGTGGTGGTGGTTCACTCGTTCGAAGAGTACCTGCATTCGCCCCTCCTGTCCAGCAAGCTGCAGGTGACTTGGCTTTGAGTTCCAGAAGCATGTGGCTCAAAATCAAACAGGAGGGGTTAAGCAGGTTTTGGTCCTTGTTTCCACTTACCAGGGTTCCATTTTGGTGCCGGTTTTTTGAGGCACCACATAGCTGCCAGCTTGCTGGCTTCGAGCCGAGGAGGTGCCACTCAGCCACCTGATCCGCCAGTGGGCAGAGCAAGTGCCAGGCACCGCGTTGTTCGAGCTGTTTCAGGAGCCCATGGGCGGAGCTCGGCGGGATGGGCAGACAGTCTTCAGCCGCTGGACGAAGAAGCGTGGACTGGAGATGAGCGATGCTCCCGGCGTCCCGGGCCTGCAAGCTGACAGCCTCCACTTCCAGCCCTTTGCATGGATTGTGGACCCAGCCGCCTGCCTGAATTTTGCTTATGTCTGGCGGAGAGGGCGAAAGGTAGATCAGTTGCTGATGTGTTACCATTCCGAAAACTTGTGTCAGGTGAATGTGATTCAGACGGCTGTTCACTTTGCACAAGCCCGGGCAAACGGCCACAAGATGATTGTATTGCCAAAGCAGACCCTCCGCGTCAACCACTACATTGACCTGGGCAGCAACACAACTCGCTGCCTCGATGAGCTAGGCGGCTGCAATGTGGAAGACGATACCTTACTTTGGGCTGAAGAGCGGGTGTTGTCCATGCGAGCTTGAGTAAAAATGGCCTGGCATCAAGGGTTGGAGCCGCGGGAGAAAAAGTGTCAAGCCTACATGGGCAGACTGCGGGCCTCGCTTGCTCGGCCAACAGGTGCTGCTGAAGCAGGCAGCGAGAGACGCTGAAGGCCTGGCAGCTAGAGCGTGACGTGCAAGGACGTGCAGGGCAGATACAAATGTCAGGCTCTTGCCGCGACTCTTCCTGCTGCAGGCTGTGGGTTGGGATGGGGATGGGGCGTTCAAGCAATCCGGCCACTGGCAATGTGCGTCAGGTTGGGCTTCCGCTGGCAGAAGGATGAGCTTTTGCGGCATGCTGGTGATGCAAGGTCGCTGGCTGCTCGATTGCACGAAATTTGTCGCTCAGCAGCTTGTGATGCCAAGGCCGCATGTTTACAACTTAACTGCACAGGTTTCGGACATCCCGTATGGTTCCGACTTTGGCCTGGACTCCTCCCTGGAGGAGCCCATGACCCTCCGGGACTTTCTGACCAGACACCCGCGGAAGCGGCGCCGTTGCGACGCGTTGGGGAAGAGGCCCTACTTCTTTGTGGCAGTTGACCACGAGACCCAGCCCGAGTTGGCCCTCCTTTTGGAGGCCACCTTAGGCTTGAGGCTGGGAGCGGCCCCTCCTTTCCCGCGCTTCGAGCAGCCGCTGGACTTGCTCAGTGCCACCACGCTTCAGTTCGCCATCGGAGATGAAGGCAGTGGATCGCCTCTACATTTCCACCAAGATGCGGTGAACTTGCTTTTGTGTGGCAGGAAGCGATGGTGGTTGCTTCCTCCCAGCGGCTCTGCCATGTCCAGGCTCCACCCACTAGATGTGCTCACGCACGAAGCCGACTGCTTCAATCATGCGCGGGTCTTGGAGCAAGAAGTCGGAGATGTGGTCTATGTTCCGGACATGTGGGGGCATGCAGTGCTCAACCTGGAAGCGAACACTCTTTGCATCGCTGCTGAGTTTGCATAGGCAAGCCACGTGGACACTGTAGCTCGCGTCAAGCTTGGTTCTGCACAGTCGCGCGCAAGGTCAACAGCCTCGGACATTACAGATCACGGGGTGCAACTCGGAACGACGCGGGACGCCATGTACTGAGCTTTGGCAAATGGAGCCCATTACATCGGGCATTCAGAATTCGGGCGAAGATGGCGAAGGTTAATTGGAGACCTCAGCCAGGCTGTTGCGAGTTGACAAGATTCGCAGTTGCGAGGTGCAAGGGTCTGGCACAGCTGGCAGGATTGGGGCGAGCATTCCATTACAACCTGGGGCCCACTTGAACCTAGCGCTCGAGTCACCGTACGCTGTTGCCAGTATGCGCCCCGGCCGCTGCTGCAAAACTCAGCCTATGAAGCACGAAGCAGCTCTTTCAGAGCGACAACTTGCTCAGGCAGCCGCAGCAGATGTTTCATGGGAATCATGCAGCTTGCGCAATGCGACTAGGGTCTGCTTTGCTGCGAAACTGCGAGGAGCAAATGTGCATCGCCGTTTGCAGTGCCGTGCTCAGCTCCCCATGGGCACAACGTCTTTTGGATGGACATGTTGGGCTGTTTTGGTGCGAGGCGGCGGCCTTTTTGTTGTTGCGCAAGGTCAGGGGCCAGTGGGGGTACGAGCTTACATTCAAGTGCGTCTCGTTGAACATGGCTTCAGTTGCCCACGAGTTCCATTTCGAGCATCATGCCACCACCAGCATCAGGCCTTACATGGTGAGAGCGAATGGCAAGGAGTTGCTTTGCAGCGTCCTGCGCTCAGTTGGGTTGTTGTGCATATTGTGTGCACTCAATCCGGCACTTTGAGCAGTTGGTAGAAAAGTAGACCCCCAGCATGTACCAAGAAGAAGCTGTTGTCAGCATGGTCGTTGTAGTCGGGGGCCAGGAGGCCAATAAGGCTTCGCAGCCTCAGGCAAACCTCAGGCAAAGAGCAAGTTTGTATGGTGCCTCGTGTATGCAGTTTGGCAGCATGTCTTCTTTGCCTGCCCGCTGCCCGCAGCCACTTGCTGCAATAGAAGCTTCGGCTGCTTTATTTCACCGCCATGTGCAAGGAATCGAAGCCCTGAGTGAATGCGGAGGGGAAAATCAGCGCGAGGCACGGTCCAGCTTCTGAGACACTGAGCCCACTCAACAGGGTCTGTAGAATTGGGCTGTGTTGCATTCCAATCGCAGCAAGGCGGCCGGTGAAGGGAAGAGGTTTTGTGCGCCATTTATGAAGCCCAATCACCTTCCTTTGTCAGTGCCGTTTCTGGGAGTTGGAGCTTCCAGGGTACTGAGGACGACTTCCCTTCGCAACGGGTGGCATATTTTTGTTTTTAGCCGGATTTGCTCCATGAGAGCCTGCCAGGCAGCTGAAGATCCTGCACAGGGTGGGTTCTTGAAAGAACGTGTCAATCCTAATTCGGATAGCCGAGGCCAGCATCCAGTCAACTGTCCTTTGACGACAAATTGTTTTGCTCTTCGTGTGCAGCCATTTGCAAACGTAGGAGCTCTGACATTCGCAGCGCTACTCGACAGATGGAGCACACACATTATGGCCATTGCCTTTCTGGCTGACATGAGAACCGTAGGGCACATATCAACGTTCTCAGTTCTCCATCAGCACTTGTGGCTTTGCACTGGCCGTGACGACTTGAAGTCGTGCATTGCCATGGAAGATGTGAAGTTTCCTTCTCTCACTTCTCTCAGGATGCATGATGCGAGTTCCTCAGAATCTTCTACGACAATCACACGGCAGGTGGTGAAGGAGATCAGCATCATGGATGTTGTCCGAGCTCGCTTGCGGACAGCGAACGTGAAGCAGACGCCGAGCACTGCGTGCTGGCTGGCCACAGGGATGCCAGGGAAGATCCTTTTCTAGAAGAATTTCGGAGTGAAAACCTTGATTTGCCGAGTGAGTGTTTTTGACGCAACCCCGATTTTGTCCTTCCCGGCCCCTTGCCAAGTGAGGATGGAGAGGCCTGGGGCACAAGGTGTGCAAGCTGGCCGGCGCAGGCTGCCATTGCGCATTGCCGTGTCTATATTGATCGTTTCCGCAATCCTCGTGTCATCCTTGTCGTTGTTTGCTTACCTCAGCATGCAGTGGAGCAGTGCGCATGCCGAGACGCTCAGCCTCCTGAGTGAGACTTGGACGCAGGTATCATCATTTCACAGATGCATTTGATGCCTGATGCGTTTCAGAGTCAACAGTTGTCGGAATGTTCTGCTAGCTTTGAGCTTGGACAGGATCAAGCTCAGGACTCGCTTCATGATCAAGGCATCAGCCTCCATAGCCACATTGCGGAGAGCTCCCATGCAGCCTACGACTTTCTTTTGCTGAACATCGAGTGGTCAGTCTGGTGGTTCGTGGTTCAGCCACCGAGCCAGGCTGTGCAATTCATGTTTGGCCTGCTGAAGACAGTGCCGATGGACGTAGGACTCACGGCTGCATTCCCTTCATCCAGGGATCAAGTTTTTCTGAATGCTTGTTCTTGTCCTGGCGGCCTTGTTCCTGGAATTGTGAGGCCTTTGATGATCAATGGAATGTATGTGTTGGAAGCTGAAGGGGTATACCGATATACGTTCTGTGTGCTTGCCCATGATGCGAGTGCATGTGCGCAGGGGAAAACTACGCGCATGCACATAGGTGTGCTTTTTGGTTGGTTTGCGTAAAAAATAGAAGCCCCTGGTTTACCTGGTGGTTCAACCATCTACCAGGGCCATCTGTTTTCCAAAAAGGACACCTATGCGCATGAATAAAGCATTCAGGATGGACACAATGGAGCGATATGTTGGCCACTGCTGCAATGTCGCAACTTCACGTCCAGTGGCGGGAGTCCACAGCTGCCTCTATCTCACCGCAGGCTTGGTGCGGCGAGTTGCTTCTCTATGGGGGGCAACTTAATTTAGGACATGCTGAAGATGTGGTCAGAGGGAAACATGCGAAGAGGGAAGGAAGAGTTTGAGAGACAAAGGGAGAAGGAAGCAGGAAGAAGCGAGAAAGAAAGGGAAAGAGAGACAGGGGGGAATGAGGATGGGGAGAACGGAGAAAGGGAAGAGTGAGAAAAGCGCTAAAAGCGAGACAAGGGAGAGAGGGGAGAAAAGGGAGAAATGGAGAAAGGGATAAAAGCGAGACAAGCGAGACAAGGGAGAGAAGGGAGAAAAGGGAGAAACGGGGAAATGGAGAAAAGCGAGACAAGGGAGAGAAGGGAGACAAGGGAGAAATGGGGAGAGGGAGGAAAGGGAGGAAAGGGAGGAAAGGGAGCAAAGAGAAAGGGAGAAAAGGGAGAGAAGCGGACAAGGGAGAAAAGGGAGAAAAGGGAGAAAAGGGAGAAAAGGGAGAAAAGGGAGAAAAGGGAGAAAAGGGAGAAAAGGGAGAAAAGGGAGAGCAGGGAGAGGAGGGACAAAGTGAGACAAGGGAGAAAAGGGAGACAAGGGAGAAAGGAGAAAGGGAGAAATGGAGAAATGGGAGACAATCGAGAAGAAGGAGAAAAGGGAGCAAGACACGGGAGAGAAGAGAGGAGAGAGAAAGGGAGAGAAGGGAGAGAACGGAGGAAACGGAGAGAAGGAAGAGAAGGGAGACACGGGAGAAACTTGAGAAAAGGGAGAGAAAGGGAGAAAGGGAGCGAAAGGAGAGGACGCAGAAAGTGAGAAAAGGGAGAAAATGAGGAAAGGGAAAAAAAGGAGAAAAGGGAGAGAAGGGAGAAAAGGGAGAAAAGGGAGACAAGGGAGAAAAGCGAGAAACGGGAGAGAAGAGAAGGGAGAGAAGGGAGAGAAGGGAGAGAAGGGAGAGAAGGGACAGAAGGGAGAGAAGGGACAGAAGGGAGAGAAGGGAGAGAAGGGAGAGAAGGGAGAGAAGGGAGAGAAGGGAGGAAAGGGAGGAGTGTGCTTGCCCACGTGTGCGCTCGCAAGCGTGTGAGCGAGCCGAGCAAGGCAAAGCGAAGCGAATCCACGCCCAGCAAAGCAAACAAAGAACAGCCTCGCAAGCGCAAGTGCATCCAAGTGCAACTGCAACAAGAAGCCGGCCGCATGAGCGCAGCGAAAAAGTAGGACACGTGCGCAAACACAACGACGGGCGAAGGTGCAAATGCGCAGGCGGGCAGCTGCAGAGACACAGAAATGCGGAATGCAGAAACAGGCAGCTGTAGACGCAGAAGCGCCCCAATGCACTAACGCACAAACACGGAAACGAGGGCATCAGAAACACGCAAAGTGTTTGAGCTGCGCGCACAGACACACAAATAACCAACAATACAAACTTAGCACAAGACACACAAATACGCACATGCAAGCACGCAATCACGCATACATACAAGCGCAAGACGACAAAACACACAAAGGCAACAACACTGCAAACGCAAACGGGCAAAAGTGCAAGCATGCCAAAGAGCAAGCGTACGCAGAAGTGTAAACAGCTGCACCCACACAAATGCTCAGCTGCACAAGCACGGGCGCAAACCGAACCGCGGGCTTACCCTCAGGCCTGTTTAGCGGGCATCTTTCGCTTTGCATTTGGGATTCAAAGAGGGGGAATGAGTCGGAGAGACAAATAGAGGCCGAGAGGAAGAGTTAAAGAGGCAAAGAGAGAGCGACAAGCATGAGAACAAGCAAGAGGGAAACAAGCATGGCAAGGCTGCGATGGATGATTCAAAGTCCATGAAAGTCATTGGGCACGTGGCAGGTGATGCTTGGCCAACCATCTGGTTTGGCGTACAGTTTGATCGTGGCCTATTGCACCGGCCTCTATTCTGGTGCGCAGGTGACCGAAGATCCAAACAGGTCTCTCAGCAGACATGCTTATTTTGTCGGCTTGGTTCATGTTCAAGACACACACACAAACACTAAATGCGCCTTTGACGTTTCCGCTTGGTGCACAGGTCCTATATTTTCAAAATGACGCCAAAGGTGCCTGCGCAGAGCTCGCATTTGATGATGTATCAGATGCACGATGGTGGAGTGGACCCTGGTTGGAGGGTAGAATTCGACCCAACCTCCAGGCCATATTATTTGATGCAAAAGCAGCTTTACGAAAGTGGCGTGCCGTCGACGTCGTCCAGCCATTCATGGACAGGGGTATTCAACTTTACCGTCCCCTGGAATCCGTGGGGCGAGTGTGGCTTTGCCAAGACTCTGCCCATTCCATCTTGCACGGGATGTTCGGGATTTTGTGGCACTATAATGTCATATGTGAACTTGGGAACTGTGCGGCAGGCTTTGCAAGAACAATGGGGGCAAATTCGACTCCATTTGGACAGTCCGCTGTACCGGTATGCGTTACTACACAATGAGTCCAGCGTTTTCGTGATCATTCAGAGGTCAAGAGAAGCTCCGGAACAAGAGGGCTTTCTCCTGGCTGCCTCAAATGATCCAGCGCACGGCTGTATCTTTATGTATGCCAGAAAGTCGCCGCAGCAGATGGTTGCGCACACAGCCCAGGCCATCTACAATCGAGTCGGCGGGAATTGGAGTGCGCGGCCTCTTCAGTCCAGCCTCTTTTTGATGAACTTCAGCCTTCCGGAGATGAAGAAGGGGAGGTCGCTGGCTCAGAGGCTCCAGAGGCTCAGAGAGGCGTGGCGCCGTGCTGAGGTCGGCGGCTTGTGGCCCCGGATCCGAGGAATGCTTCGACGTGAGCACTCGCCGCATCATGCTGGATGACGACCTGCACTGGCTGGTGGTACTGGTGCTGCCATCCAATGCTTTTACCAAAGTTGCCTCTGCGAAGCAGCTCGAGTTGGAGTCTTGCACCAGTTAGTTCGATTGAGCTGATCCCTGAGGCCTGTGGCTCAGCACATGTGGCGAATTGCGAATTCGCCTAGGAGAAGACTGTTGACCTCAGTGCAGCTGCCTCCGAAGATGCCTCGCACATCTTCCGTGTGTCCTTCTTCGTGCTGTCAACTGCGGTGATTTTTGGCCTGTTCGCAGCATGGTTCATCAGCGCTCTTGCCACCTATCCGCTGAACAAATTGCAAGGATACATGCACAAGCTGGGCAGACTGGACATGAAAGGCCTGCCAGGCTTGCACTGCAACCTCAACGAGATGTCTTCTTTGACGGAGGCCGCTCAACCTCTGAATCGTTAGCAGCATTTTCCAGCGTGTCGTAAAGAGCCAGCCCTCTTTGCAAGTCTCACCGGTTTCTTTCAAGATAGCTAATATCACGCAGCTTTTCAAAGCGTTTTGAGGTTGCGGAGCTCCAAGCTGGCTTTGTGAACCTGGCCCGAAGTGTTGAGACCTTCTCCAGGTTCGTGCCAGAAACCGTGGTGAGATCAATCTTGCATGGAGATGCAGCAGCCAGCAGCATACACGTTCAGGGAAGACATGCAACGATCATGTTTACCGATATCCAAAGCTTCACAAGCATCGCGGAGACGCTGTCGCAGTCTGACTTGATGACGCTGCTGTACATGTATTTGAGCGAGATGACTGACATCGTGGAGCGTCACGGCGGTGTGGTCAGCGACGCCCGCTGTGAAATGTACAGAAGGGGCGTGGGGACCCAGGCTCTCTGTGAGGGGCTTGGATTTGTGACCCAACCTGAGGAAATCCTGGGAGATGGTCTTCTGATTCTCTGGAATGCTCCAGATGATCTCAAGGAAGTGGTTCACGCGGATTTGACTAGAGAGTGTTGCGCGCTTCTTGCCAGCGAGGCGCACGAACCCTAATCCCCCAGGCAATAATTTACGCAACGGCTTTGCGCTGGAGCAATCGTTGCCCCCCAAAATGCTCGATCGCTCGCTGCGAAGTTGTGAGGATCACCCGGTCGCCGCATGCAGAGCCGCTGTGGCACAACACAAGGTCGGACAAACCATAAGCTGCACGGTGTGCATGTGACGCTGTGACGCTGCTTGTGCAGGCCTTGTCTCGCCTGAACGAAGCTTTTGCAGAAATGATGTTGCCCAGCATCCGTATTCGCATCGGCCTCCACACGGGGGCGCCTAGCCTTGAGTCAGGATGTGTCCGAATGTAGGCTTGAAGAGTCATCAGCATGAGGGCAAGTAAGCAGAAAGCTTGCCTAGGACGTGCTCGCTGGCAACATTGGAAGCTGCAAGAAGATGAAGTATGGCTGCATGGGGGACCCTGTGAATCTGGCAAGTCGTTTGGAAGGAGCGCCGTAAAGGTAGACAATGCCATGATGCACGTGTTTCACATGAACTTTAAGATTCTCGCGTCTTCAGCAATCCTTGTGGCGTTTGGAGCCTTTGGCTCTGCCTGTTGCTTTTTCCATCTGCGACTCTTGCCACTGCAGCCTGGCGGCTCCTCTTTGCGATGCTTTGTTTGCTGCTTGTTTGGTGCTTGGGATTCCGAACGCTGGCCTCGAAGAGGCTTTGCTTGAGCCTTTTTTTTTTCTGCGCGGGTGGGTGGATGACAATATTGCGGGCAACGCTTGATGCATTAGAGGCTGATGAATCTGGGAGATAGGTGTGGTTCAGCATGGCAGGGCATGGGTGCATTTTGGACTTTTGTCCCAAGCAGCTGAAAGCTCTGGGTCCAGGGAATGTATGGGGCGGTTCAAGGAGGGTTTCGGGGATGCACTGGGCAGTTCCAAGGACGTTCCGGTGAACGGGGCTAGGGTTCTGCGATGCACTGGCCGGTTCCGAGGGTTGTGCGATACACGGGGGTTCCGAGGAGGGTTCCGGGGATGGACGGGATCCTGAGCTTGTTGACAGTCCTGGTTTGTCTGGTCTGGACCGAATGCTTTTCTTCTTTTTTTTTGCTGGCCAATTCGACGTTCCTGTTTGCCCCGGGGTGGGGGGGTTGGGCGCGGGTGTGGGCGTGTAATTACCTACAAGGAGGACTTGTCTACAGCAGGCTGGTGAAAGGCAGTGGCAAGGGGTGCCAGCTTTCGGTCCGTCCTCTCTCAAGTTGGCTGCAGGTGCAACCTTAACATGCATGCGGCCTTATTATCTTCTGTTTTGTTTGGGCGACTCTTGGCCTTGCGTCTACAGTAGCTATGCCGCTGGCACATGCTCCTTGAGCTTCCAATGTCTTACGCTGCCAGGACTGGCCAAGCACTACGGCGTGGGCACTCTTTGCTCTGATGCCACCTGGGCGAGTCTGCCGCCGAACTTCGTGTGCCGTAAGCTGGACCTAGTGAGGGTGAAGGGCAAGGAGCAGGCCGTGTGGGTTTATGCACCTTGAATACATACCGAGGCCCCGAGGGAGCGGGACAAAAGTTGGAGTCCCGGGTCGGCCCATGTCACGGCTCTGTGGCTAAGGAGCTCATCGACGACATGCCCAGTCTTCGAGAGACAACCGCACAGCTCTATGAGGACGCGCTGCATGCCTTCCACAATCAGAGTTTTGCCTGGGGCCAAGGGGTCGCGTCGCACAGTTGGTGACTGTGATGCTTCCGCGTACTTGAGTCGCTGGCCACACTGAGGCGCTTGCTGTGCAACTAGCTAGCTCGCTCGCGGCGCAGGCCCGGAGGCCCCTAGGACTGATCGCCTGATCGCCCAGTTGGACGCAGGACCCAGGGGACACTGCAGCAGTGAAGCTGTTGCAGCGAGCCGATGCCGCCTGCCAGACAGACCTGCCGATTGGCTGGTCTCCTGTTCCCTGCACGCACGGAAATTCATGCACAGATCACGTCAAACTCGAAGCCGAGGTGATGGAGATGACCGAGAAGTGAGTTTTTACCTGTGCATAGAGATTCATATTTGTGTGCCATTTTTGATCTTGGCTCGCACGAGCACCGGCTGGCATCTGTCGTTTGAAACTCCTTTCGGTCAGTTGCATGTTGACCCAGCAAAACATGATCAAGCAGAGGGCATGGCTGAACGCCCGCCAAAGGCATTTGCCAGACCTTTTTCCGATGCTTGCGACGAGCGTTGCATGAATGCTTGATGGACATTTTTGGCACAGACAGAGAAAGAGTGAGGGAGCATCCTTTAAATGCCCTCGATTTCTCTCGGTCCAGCAGAAATGCTGAGTAGCAGTTTGCCTCTGTCAAATCAACATGCTGGAGCATTGCTTATCGTAGTCGGACATGCAGGAAAGGAATTGCCGCTGGCTGGTTTGCAGATGGAAAACTGCTTGCCGTGATCTGCCCTACCGCGGTTCCAAGCGGAAGGCCGGGAACCGGCTGCAGGATGCTTTCTAGCGCCCGGCTCGGGGGCTGGAGAAGCGCTTGCCGAGTTTTGTGACTTCGTCACTGGAAGGCCAGTGAGGTGGGGACAATGCCCACAAGATGCCGCTGATGCCTGCGTAGTGACTGAGTAAAAGAGTGCCAGCAGCCGGAGGAAGTCAAGCTGTGCCGCGCATGTGTGGCCGCTCGTTCAGGTGCTCAAGCAGTCCGTGAGAGGCGCTGAAGGCCCGACGCAAGCATCACATCCGCAGGTGCAAGGCAGGTGCATGTGTCAGGCTTTTGCCGTGACTCCTGCAGGCTGTGGATGGGGGTGGGATTTACATGAATCCGACCACATTCAGCGTGGCAGGTTCGGCTTCTGGCGGAAGGCTGAGCTGCGGCATTACGGCGAAAGAAGGGTCGCTGGCTGCTTGTTTGCACAGAATGTGTAAGCATAGCAGCTTGTACGGCCAGGCTGCCCGTAATTCGGCGCAGGTTTCGGACATCCACATGGTTCTAACTTTGGCCTGAACTCGCCCCTGAATGGATGAACCATGGTGGGCAAAATCGTTAGCAAGCGGCACCGGGCAGGGGCTCTTGCAATGGAATGCTTGGCGCAAGGCGGTGAATCATTGCGATGCTTATGCCAGAAGCATGGCATCATGACAGGCGTTGGGAGAGATTCAAATCACATGTAGGGCCCCGCCCCCCCCCCTCCCCCCCGGAAATGCGGTCAAAAGGCAACCACTTCATGGGACGTTGATTCAAAGACCTGAGGCCGTATTCCAAGTCCCTGCTCTACGATGACGAGCACCAGGAGTATAAGAAGAACTTCCCGAACCAGTTCAAGTACGACTATGCCGTGAGCCGGGAGGACAAGAATGCGGCAGGCCAGAAGATGTACATCCAAACCAAGATGGCGGAGTACGCAGAGGCCCTGTGGGTTGCGGGATCAGTACTGTTGGGGGAAGTCAAGGTGCGTTTCATTGTGCATTGCATCATTCGCCACATGCAATTGAAGGCTGGACTCTGTGACCAAAAGGCCTGCAAGACACCAAAAGCCTAGGGGCAAGGGAAGTGAAACACTCCTTACATGGCTGTTGAGTTTGAGCAAAGGATGGATGTGACACTTTGACTTCGCATGGAGGTCTAAGTATCTTCTGACCTCAAAGCTCTCATCGCACTTCCTAGTTCTGTGCAAGTGCGCAAGGTCACTGTCACCAGAGAACCAACACCCATCTTTGTTGAATTAAGCATGTGGCGACCATGAAAAATTGATTTGGGTCGTCCATGTCACGTAAGATTTTTGCACGCATGCGTCTAGAGTAAATACGTTGACTTCCCAGAAGACTCCTCAAGCAGGGAGCATGGTGTGGGCATGGATGCCTACATATGCGCAGCAACAAAAGGTACACTAAACTTCATGCTGCCCTTGTCATGTTGCGGGGCGGGGCAGAACCCGCGCGGTGAGCCAACGTGTTGCGGGGGTTTGCGGGCACTTGCAAGTTGGGCAGAGGTGTCATCGGCGACCGCAGCCAGGCTGCTGTGAGCCAAAAAGAGCTCGCGCAATTGTTGCCAGGTGCAAGGTTCATTGGCGCACAGGCAGGGTTGGGGTGATTGGCATCTAGGACCCGCTTGAACCGTGTCCTAACACGCTCCTTGGCCGCTGTCTTGCTCAGCTTGCGTGGCATCAGGAAGCACAAAGTAGCCCTCACAGAGCCCTTTGCCCTCAGAGCCCTTTGCCCTGTAGACTCTCTCCCTGCACACTTGTAGATGCGACGCACAGACGCATCTTTTTGCATCTACCTGTGAATTTGCACGCTGCCCTGCCGCGCGGTGTAGACCAACAGCCCACACCTTGGTCACCATGCAAACTATGTGCGCACGTAGCACGAAGTTGCCTGAGGCCAAATGATCATCGAGATCATCAATGAGTCCGAGTTTTCATTCCAAAGGGACGGAGACTGGCTGAAAGCGGGCGAGTTCAAGTCGGACAAAGCCGCGCTGATCCCCGCAAAGTCGCAAACCAATGTGGAGATATCACCTTCTGCAGTGCCGAGCCCAGTATTCAGCATGTCCATGGTTGCAACGGGTCTAAAGGAGGCGCAGGGCTTGCTTGGTGCTGCTAGGTGGAGGGCGTCTCTGGCGTCGCGTGGTGGGTAGATGTGAATGCCGGGCGGAGCGTGTACCTGTCCATGGCGCTGACCAAGATGCTTGACTCAACTGCATTGCGCGAGTTCATTTCGGCGCGATGCTCGTGTCCAAGCCCTGCCTGCTGTGAGGCCTCGTCTCGGGAAGCCGACTTTTCTTTGCTTTGCAGGAGCTCTTCTCTTAGCTGGCGTATTTGTGCACAAGAGACCCTGTGAAGCAGCGTCGGGCTTCTTGCTGAGTTGCCTCCGGCAAACCTCAAGACGCAGCTGTCATCGGCTGCCAAACTGGAATCGGGGGTCGGGAGCTCGATGAAGCTTGGCTGCAGCCAAGCAGCAAGCCTTGTAAGGACGCCTTCACACCAGGCACTGGTTGTGAATGGGCCTGTGTCCCAGCATGATTGGTGTCTATGCCTCTATGCCTCTATGCGTCCACTCATGATATCTCATGATTGCACTCGCATTGGCCTAGGTAGGGACTGACGAAGGTGTGCGAGTGAGGCCCTGCACGGTGATTCCTGAAGCATTCGTATGTTCGACGGCTGTGAACGCAGGATCCTACCAGAGCTAGATGAGTTTGCGCCACCGACAGCTGCTGATCTTTGCGTCAAGGAGCCACAAGCTCTCCGTTGTTGGGTGGTGTCAACGTGCTGAGCGCTGTTGCCTATCGTGGCATGGGGAAGAGCAGGAAGAAGAGGAGAACGCAGAAAATCTGACCGCTGAACCTCAGCATGAGACTTCTACAGATCTTGCCGTACCAGGTGCTTTGCCTGGTGCAGTCACGGACGTCGCATTTGTCGCCGATGCGAGATGCTTGCAATTCCCATGCCAGGTGGCTATCCGAAAGAAGCAAAGCTTGAAGGGGGCGACTTTATGGCTCTCACCAGGCCCAAGGACCGAGCCATGTGGCAGTGCTGCACTTGGGCTCCCTGAGTCTTGTTTTTCGCTCGAAGCTTCAACCAGTGGGGTGCGGTGTAGGACGGCACTGATGGGCTGATCCGTGGCCTGAAGACAGCTGGGGCACATGCCTGAGTGGACGGCATGTGCAAAGGCCGCTGGATAGAAAACACCCCAAGTCACAAGAGCAGCCGTGGGATACCGCACGGTCCAAGCAGTCAACTTCAGACTGCACTTTTGCCTGCTTGAGGCTGGTGTTGCTGGAGGTCTCGTGGCTGCCGCCGATGCCTCGAAAGCCTTGAAACATTGGGTCGGTGATTTACCAGGCATGCTTTTGCCAAGCTTCTCCCCTGGCCTCACAACTCTTCCTGGTCCAAGAGATGCAACTGCGAGGTGGCGGCGCCAGTGCAGGGTGCCAGGCGGGTGGCGCGCGGAGCAGTCGTACGACCTGGCAACCTGTTGCTTCCGTTTCGGGGTCCGCGCACTTCCGCAGGTCTGGCGGTGCTTCTGGCTTCTTCAAGGGACTAGGCTTCGATGGCAAGCAGCCACAAATGACCCAAGACAGTTTATCCAAGGTTGAGGCCCTTGACTTCTAATGGTCAAGGTTTCGGGTTGTGTGCCGCGCCATTTGAGACTGTCAGGTGCTGGCGTCCTGGGTGGCGCCGCCATGGTGGTGGGCGGCGTTGGCTGCGGTGTGGCTCAGGTGGGAGCGGGGAGATCCTATGGGCCCGCCAGATTCCAGGTCTGAAGTTGGAGGAAGGACACTTGAACAGGGCAGGGGTGGCTTGTGTGACAATCAGGACATGCCTAAAGCCAACGCCTTGTGCACGCGGCAGATTGGTTGGCAAAAGGCGCGTCTAGTTGCGGACGTTGCGCAGGTTGGAAGAGGCCTCATGCAAATGCCAAAAGCGCACAGGGCACGTCGTTTGATCCTTAGCTGAGCCTGCGCTAGCCAGTATTGAAGCGATGAGTCCTGGGGCACTCAGAGGCGGACTCTAGATGGTACGCACATGGATTAGCCGAAGCAAAATAGGAGCTTGCCTGCTCTGGCATGAGGTGAAGAAAAGGTTTGGGATCAAGAACTCGGCTGCTGGGTGCTGCTCTTAGATCGCCTGAGGTCGTGCTTTGTCATGTGTTGGCCAGGTAGATGTGGACTTGTGTGCCTTGGAGCACCAGTTGGGCCAGGAAGGTCTCGGTTCATGCCAACTCGTTGACCGTTTTCGCTGCGCAGGAGCCGGACAAAGGGGAGCCCAGCCCAACTGAAGGAGCGGAGAGCAGAAGCCAACTTGTCGCTGGTAACTGTGCCACGTTGATATTTGCGGCAGCTTTGTTGGCATTGTCCCGCATGGGAATAGCGAGTCTTGTAGCAGGAGAAAGTGCACCAGCTGGAGCAGTGGCCTGGGGCTCACACCCCAAACTGCTTTTGTGTCAGGCGTTCCGCCGCAATATTTTAAGACGCCGTCAGTGTAAGGCCGGGGTTGGGTAGATGAACGCCATCTCTCAACATTCTGGAATCATGGATGATTTCAATCTGATCGAAATGAACATTCCTACCGCCGGACATGTACTCATACATATATATATATTATATATATATAACTTGCATGTCAGCTCACCTCACATTGTAGCCCACTCGAAATCATGGCTACCTCTCGAGTTGCAACGGAGCTCGGTGTCCCTGGTTCCCATGGCAGTGCCAAAGTGGACACGGGTCAGTTTTTGTAGAATCCCGGTGCACTGAAGGCCGAAGCCACAGCTGCACGAAAATACCAAGGCAGATTCCGAGTATTATGACCTGCTAAAAGTGCAGCTGCGTGCTCAGGATCCTGGCTGTCAAGTAGCTTGTTGGACAGTTGCAGACAAGCTGCTTCTGCCTTGTGAGCAGCTGCTGGCAATCAGTGTGCAATGGCCATGTGCATCTGTGTTCCTGCTTACATTAGAGCGGAGTGGCGAATTCCAGTATGGGGTCAAGCGAGGGCACGTCAACTTGTTGCATGGATTTTCACCAAAGCCGTAACAAGTTTGGGAGTCTGAGGTATGTAGTCGGCGCTGTTGGGAAATTGATGTTGGCATGCCCGACGAGCCCTTGCAGTGACACGCCCACACAGCATGTTGCGGCATGGTGGCCGTGCTTCGTGGCCCCGAGTTGTAGGGATCAAAATGGGCATTCATGCAAGGCCAAATGCCAGCCCATCCGAGATCAAGAAGGCGGCTACTTTTGTGAGTCGTGCCCGGACTTTCGCCCCCGCATTTTTGTCCCGCAACCAAAGGCCAACAGCCACCGGAAAAATATTAGAGAATGGTTATGTTGAGTTCGGAATGTGACACAGGTAATTTATGGTAGTTCGGGTGGAGCGCGTGCGAGGCATATGCCTAAATTAGCAGATTGTCCAGAGGAATGTAACCTGCACGCTGGAGGCATACTACAAGGAAGCTCGCACGCTGGAAGCTGAGCCGATCGCTCCAGCGGTCCTTGCCCGGATCAGAGCACCTCGCTTGCTAAGGGGGGAGTTTTGCAAGCGAATTTCAGCCCAGGTGTCACCCAGACAAGAACCCTGGAGATGCTGAAGCAACTGCAAAGTTTCAGCAGCCAGCTCCTGAGTGTGAGGCCCACCCAACCGAGTTGGCGCTTTGCAGGCTTAGCACCGTGTACCAGGCTCGGATTGCAGCAGCCAGCAGCCAGGTTCTTCGAAAGGATGCTCTCATGGCATCACCAGGCTGTGTATATGATGTTTTTGGCTAGACGTTTGGAGCCCGGACGAAGTGCAGTTGAACAGTGTTGTGCACAGCTGCCCGCATAATGTGTCTGGCTGAAATTGTGGAGTGCCAGCCCAGTGTTGTACGATGCTCATACAACATCGCATGCGCATACAGTAGGGCTTTGCTCGAAGTGATGCGCTCCTTGGCCCTCTGCCCAAACGGAAGCACTGTCCCGGAATGCTAGCACAATGTTCATGATTTATTGCCTTGCGTGCATCTAAGCTTAGGTGTGGAAACCGAACCGTACGCTGAAGCTGTTTGCACACGAATCAGCGACCCCAGCACTGCGAACGAAGGATTGCTTTGGGCCTGGCACATCAGTTGTGCGGAGGAAGGGCTGCATATATATACATATATATATATATATTAGTTCTCATAGGGTTTGGCAGGACCTGGTGGATGTTCGGCCGGTTTCCAATTGCCAGGTCCTGTCTGACCCGGAGCTGCGGAAGAAGCCTCCGGCTTATATTTGCTTACTATCAACTTTGCCAGGCAGACAGCAAGATGTCAAAATGCTAAATACCAACGGGGTCGGACCATTTGTCTAGCGCGGACTGAGGTATGACCGGGATGGAAAGGATGGCATTGACAAGAAAGCAGTACAGATGGATGCCAGGACGCGAATATGAATTGAGTTCAGGTGCAACACTTCGTGTGTCAGTTTGCTCCAACCAGCTTAGCCAGAACGTGTGATGATCATTGCAACTCTAGCCCCCCGCCAAATCTCTCCCGCTGCCACCCATTGTGGTTCGCACCTGTCCGCATGTGTTTTGGCCGATTGTCTAACGAGCACTTAGTACATGGAAAGCTTGATAGTCCTTACTAGCCGCTCAAAGACTTGAAGCAACTTTTGAGAGGAGACGTGCGTTTTATATCGTTTTATGAGGCAACATGTCAGCCCAGAGTGCCTTGCAGGGCCTTCTTCGGCTTGCTCTTTGGGTCTGAGCGCTTTGAGCCTTGGACTGGTGAGTCGCCCCCCCAGGATTTGCAATGCTGGTAGCGCCAGTGATGGCAGTCATTGCGTGAACCCACGGCTGTGTCATTTTGTTTCCTTGCGCATGTAGCAGTAGTGGATTCTGCTGACCAATAAGTAGAACGAATCGCCTTGGCATCCCGTCACTGTTTTGCGCTCCAGCTGGGGGTGGCGTGACGGAAAGGGTCAGCACGTTCACACAGTCAAGCCTTGCATCCCGAGCATTACACTGATTCTGCACTTGACGCTTTCCATGCTAATATTTTTGGACATAGCTCAGCTGCACAATGACAATCAAGTCAAGAGCCAAAGCACGAGTTGACGACTTTTTAGCTTGCTGCATTGCCGCATCCCACTAGTCTGCAGCCATTTCATGCCTTCCCAATGGAAGCCAGGACCAGCTGCTCAAAGCAACGGCCGAAAGGCGAAATCAAATGGGATGGGCGACCTCCTCGTCTTGCACGACGAGATGTTTCACAGCGAGTCGCGGGAGGCTGAGGCCAGCGACGGCTGGGCGCTGCGGCGCGAGGCCGAGGAGGACCTCACCACGCGATTGCGGAGGCGACTCGATGAGCAGCGCCCGCCGGAGCCGCACTTGGACCGACCAGAGGTCCAGAGCCAGCCGAGCCAGCCGAGCCAGCCCAGCCAGCCGAACCAGTTGCTCGGCCAGCCCGGTCCATCGCAGGAGCGCAGGCTTTTGCGCAGGCCGGAAGAACCTCCGGGTCCTTTGCCCACTGCAGCGCAGGAACTTCGGCTCCTGGCGCGAGCCGAAGATGGGGCTGACTTGGGCACGGGCGGTAATGCTTCTGGTCGGGATGTTTCTGTTCCAATCGAGGCTTCGCATTCGGAAGCCGAAGCCCTTGGGAGGGACAGGGAAGTTCTTAGTGATCCCCGGCCCGCAGAAATAGCAGGCCATACTGGGGATGCAGAGAATGAGCAGGTCCCCGTTAGCCAAAGCAGTGACGGTGGACGCCTCTCAGAAGCACCGCTTGCGGCGACTGAAGACCAGCCTGTGCCACCCTCAGACCCGCAGGTGCTCATCGCTGTTCCAACGTCTGGGCAGCCAAAGGTTGGGAAAGAGGAGTCAAAGGAACCCTCCAGTCCCAGCTGCCTAAGGGGCATCATCAGCCCACCCGACAGTCCAAAGATAAAGAGATCGGCGACTTTGAAGCTCCCAACCGCGGAGGAAGAGCTAGAGTTGCCCCCAGCGGCAGACTCCGCTGAGCCTGTTGCTGCTTTTTCGGTCTCGGTTATTGCTCCCGTGGTTTTACCACCAGAGGCACCAGGAAGCCGATGGCGCAACGCGGCTGCTGCGGCAAAGCGGGCTCATTTAGAGCAACACGGGGAAGTGGATATGGACATGAAGGCCGCTCTGGACGCGTTGGAGGTGTCTTCCAGCTTTTCTCACAAGAAGGTCATGTCCAGTGAACTGGGCCTGAAGTCCATTCTGAAGAGAACGGACATGGGTATCGTCGACAAGCCTTCGAAGATGAACTTCCGCTCTGTTGCCCTGATGGCTGGCCTGGCGAAGAACCGCCGCCGCTCCGGAAGCTCCCAGGATTTGCCGGAGCCGGCCAAGCAGGTGAGGATCATCGACAATCAGGAGGAGGTGAGGGACAGAAGGCTGGGGCCTCGAGAGAATTTCGGGGTAGCCCTTTTTGGTTTCGTCTTATGCCATGTCGTGGAGCCAAGGCGATCACAAAAGGAGGCTGAGTGGAAAGAGCGGCAACAGCAGCTCCAGTCCCAGCGGAGGATCAAGATGATCACGTCTATACTTCTCACCCCTTTGGGCTTTTTCCAGTATATTAGCAGGTGCTACTTAGCATCCCCAAAAGCTCGCCAGCTGTGGTTGGTTACTACGTTGACGGTGTGCCTCTTTGAGCTGTGGACTGCGGCGCTCTTTATTGCCTTTGTGCTTGACGCGAGCAAAGCGGCGTTTCTGCTGGTACTCTTGAACTTGGATCACTATGCCAACCTGCTTTTCATCATTGATGCTATTTTGCTGGCGCTCGACAAATTCAGCGGAGACATTCCTGACATGGGGCCGGAGATCCGAACTGCACCCTGGCATGCGGAAGCGTGTGTGTGTGTGTGTGTGTGTGTGTGTGTGACCGTATCAGAAACAATCGGAGAGGGCTGGGGCTCTTTGCCAAGTTCAGCTTTGTGCTTGAGAGTGTGCATTGGAGTATGTAGCAGTCAATGTTGCTGGCATGCACGGGGCAACAATACTGATCGATTGCCGGCTAAGGGAAGCAGTCAGGCACAGCAGCTACAACGCATCAGGAATATGCTGATTCGCTTGCCTGGTTTCAGCTCGTGCTCATCCGACCTCATCACACAACTCGTCGAAGTCACTCTGCTTGCATACTGGCATTGGCGAGCTGCATCACACTCATGCTACTTACTTGGCAGACTTGTGCTATTTTTATGCGTGCCAAGGCTGGAAGTGCGAGAACGCTGCAGAAAGGACAAGGACAAGCACTCTTCGAAGAGGGCAGTCCCAACAACAGCTTCTACCTGCTAATGGAGGGCGAGCTTCACATTAGAGAAGGCTGGTTGAGATGTGCCAGCCAACATCGCATGAGCAGCATTGTAGAGCAAACGCATGTGTGAGGTGACAAGGGGTACAAGTATTTGGGTGGGGCACCCAGCCACGAGATGCACTGCGTGCGCCATGACGCCATGCGGCGGCCTGAGAAGTGAAAGCCAAGGTGAAGGAACCTGCTTCGGGGAGTACAGAGCGTTTGGCATCGAGGATGTGTGCTGTGAGTGTTGCTTGTCACTCCTGCTTTGTGGCCACCAGCTGCAGCGCCGTTTGTGGGTGACATGTCAGTGTTTGTTTGTGCGCATGTGTATGCCTGGGTGTGGGCGGAGATAGATGACACGACGAGCAGTCAGGACCCAGCAAACATCAGAGTCGAGGTCGTCACCGGCACCGCGGAGGTTTTTGAGCTGTCAGCGGGCGTACTGGGCAAGTAGAGCTCTTAGAAATTGGTCTCCCGGTTCAGGCATGAGTAGGGTAAGGCTTGCCCTATGACCCTCTTGGCTGAGGTGTTTAGAAGCATCGCCAGCAGACCGGAATCAGTTCGTGGAAGTGCTAAAGGTCAACTATGCCGAGAAGCAATTAGAAGCAATCGGTTCCGAAATGCCGCGACTTGTCAGTTGAATTTCTACACTTGACATACGCTCTTAATTTGTATCCATTTGTTTGTGTTTCAGTTTCCTCGTGGTTGATCGGGCATGTAGTAGTCTCATGATCGCCTGTCGGAAAGCAGTCCTGCCACTGAGGCAGAGCCAAAGACGCATCAAGGCTTTCTTCAAACTGCTCCTGCCGGTGGTACGAGCTTCCAGGGAGATTTTTGTGCAGACGGGCTTCGCCGTTCTTCTGTGGATTTGGGGAACTGTTGTGCAGAACTTGATGGAAGCCAGGCCCGGAAGCAACAGTGTATGGCACCTTGGAACCATGCCATGTGGTTGTGATGGGACCCCAGCTGGAAAGACCAGCTGTTGGCCACAGGAACCCTGGTTCCGTCCATTGCCGTCGGGACTTTGTGTCGTCGCGGCCTTGCGCGCAGGCTGGTGGATCCAGAACATGCGGTGGAGACTGGAGACACGGCAATGGAGCGGGGACTTTGCGGTTGCTTTGGTGCTTTGCGCATGTGTCTGTCTTGGAGACGTCTCCTTTTTGACTAGTTGGAGGGCTTCATTCAATTTTGCAAATATCTACTACTATTATCGCCAACATCACGGTTATCATTTTTCCAACAACATCTCACATAATTCACCCCACAATCGCTTACGCATATTCTTTCCATATATCAGTGACAGGAGCAAATCAGCATGATCATATTTTTGCTGCTGAAGCTCTTGCGCCAACAGCTGCCACTTCGATATTTGCGACGCAGCTTAGCCAGTAGAAGGAGACAGCGAGAGAGAGGTTTTCTACTGGATGAGAGAGACTAACGTGAGGTGACTCCCCAAGTTTAGGCTAGTAAAACACCAACTGAGCGGCATGCTGCGTTTGAGCCAGCCCCTAGATGGTACAAAGCCAGGTTGCCCAGTGTCCATTGGAAGTAGGGGTCTGCTTTGAACGTGGCGCTGCCGAGCTTCAGAGATTCGAGGCTTTTTCATAGAGCGGGAGACGCAGCTTTATGTGAACATCCGCTTGAAGGGCACGGCAGCATCAACATGGGTGACAGTGAAGAGTCTAGGCGCACATTTGGTGCGTTTTTTTTTTATAGCATCTGGAGCCGTTTGCGGGTGGGCTCGTAGTTCTTGGAAGTCCGACATTCTGACATGGAGAAACGGGGCAACGGTAGCTCCGAGCATCCAACAGCTGTTGAAGGTATGATGGCATTTTTGGTTTGGGGCGTTCCACGGAGCTTGCGGGAGGTTTGCCATGCTCTAAGTGGCTTGGGCCCAGTGCCCGGCCATTTCCGGGCATTTCTGAGGCTTGCAGTGATCATGCTGGGCTGGGGGCACTGGATTGGCTGCTTGAGCTTTGCTCTGGGCCTGCTGCGATCTGGGGCATCTGGCCTGGAGAGGAGCATGTTTGACCAGTTCGGGGACAGAAGCCGCCTATCGCAGTTCCAAGAACATCACTGGTGGGGCGACTACATGACAGCTTACTATCGGGCTTTCAACTTGAACCTGGAGGGTGCAATTCCGGAAAGACTGGAAGAGCTGTGTTGGGCGCTGGTGATTTGTATCGGCTTGCTAGTGATGAAGTCCTATGTGATTGGCTCGTTCTTCAAGTTGCAGCAGGCACAGAAGGAGTTGGCATTAGAGGTGAGCAACCTTATGGACAAAGCAGACCTCGTGTGCACAGCATTGGATTTGCCACCAAGCATCCGGAAATCAATCCGGCAGCACTGCCTTTTTCAGTGGTCAAAAGCCAGGGACGTTGGCAACCGTGAGGTGGTCTTGAGAACATTCCAGCCAGACCTTCAAAAGAAGGTCAAGGAGCTGGTCTATCTTCCAGTCCTGCTGGCCAACGAGAAGCTCTTCTCAGGGGTTAGTAGCGAGTTCACACAGCAGCTCACGGACCAGCTGGAGGTTGTCATGCTTTTGCCCTCAGAGGTGCTGTTTGTTGAGAATGACGCGCCGCAAGATCTGAGCTTTTTGCAGAGCGGAACTTTCATGTTGACGCGCCAAGAGCAGCTGATCCGCTATGTGCGCAGTGACCGGCCAAACGAAACGACCGTTGTGGGAGAAGTTGCGTTTCTGCTCGACATCCCACATTTGTACTCTGTGAGATCGCGAGCCGGCGTAGAGTCCACATTGCTGCGAGTCTCACGCACCGTGTTTGAGAAGCTCGTGCATCATTTGGATTCAGATTTGGACCATCTCATGCAGAACTCAGCAAGCTCAATGGACTTGACGCTGAGTGGGCACGATGCAAAACGGGAATTCGCACAGGCTGAGCCACGTGATGACACAGAGCTGTTCATGCAAATGCGTGAGTCTGTGAGGCAGAAGCTGCTGAAGCGTACGGCCCACATGTCTGCCACATTCATCAACGCAGCTGCAGAGGGCAACGCGGATTTGGTGCAGGTTTTGCTGCGCAAGCGGGTCATGGTGAACACCGCGAACTGTGACGGTCGCACCGCCTTGCACCTGGCGGCAGCAGAGGGCCGGGAGGCGGTGGTGAAGGCGCTGATTGAGGCGGAGGGCAACGTGAATCACCAGGATCGGTGGAAGGGCTCGCCCTTGAAGGACGCGGTGATCGGCAAGTTCGGCGCTGTCACGGAGCTGTTGGTGGAGCAGCAGGCGGATCTCAACCTGGACGACCCTGCCACGGCGCTGTGCGATGCCGCGTCCAGCGGCAACCTCATGGCTCTCAAGGAGCTCATCGAGGTGAAGATCAATCCCAACTCCGGGGACTACGACCTGCGGACGCCTTTGCACCTGGCGGCCTCGGAAGGAAAGCTGGAGGTGGCCCAGCCCAAATAGCGCCAGAAATCCCGCTCTGCGCAGTCCCTGATCCAAGCTTACCCGGGCCCACCTGATACTCTGAGAGTTCTAGACGTTAAGGGTCGTGAGGCGTGTGGCTTTGATCGTAGGCGATGCAAGGACACGTTTTTGTTGAACAATCATAGAATCATAGTTGTGGCAACCGAAAACAACACTGACAACCAACCGACAACCATGCAAGAACCTTGCAAGCAAGCCTTGTGCGAAAGTGGTCTTATCTTGGCCGAATAGGCAAGTCGTGCATGCCCTCTAATAGTCCAATATTGTCACATTGTCACATGTCCAGTGCAACCGCTCCTGTGTGAAGACACTATGCATTGTGCTCTCCTTGTGATTTGGCGCCCTGTTCGGATTAGAGAGCCATCCCTTGTGGCCAAGTTCAGCCCTGGAACCTGGCAATACCTGAGCATCGACGTTGCAGATCACGAGTTTCACACTTGTAGCATTGAAAATCGACATCGGCATTCGATACCTTGAGCCGGGAATATTCCAATCTAGTCCCCTCCGCCCCTATTGAAATGGACCTTAGGCCGAGGAGGGCTCCTCTAAAATCGGGTCAGCATGGAGGCTGAGGACCTGCGTGTTGTATGCTGCTTTTTGCTGGTAAACCATATTGATTCTCAAGAAACAGACGGTTTCTGCTGTGTTTGCTGTTCGTTTTTGGGACTTCTTATGTGTAGTATGTTCCGAGCGCACTTAACAGTTGACCTCAACCGGAGAGCTGGCCGGAGAACCCGAGAATCCGACAATCCAAGAATCCGAGAAGAACGGGACTGGGAGAAGATGCACCGAGGTGATTTCCTTTTTGCTGGACAGCAAGGCCAACCCCAATTTCAAGGACCGCTGGGGTGGCATGGCTTTGGAGGATGCCATCCAGAACAACCACACCGTGGCGGCCCAACTCATCTTCTCCAAGAAGGGCTCCCTACGCCAGGAGCTGGCGGCGGGCTGGCTTTGTGACGCTGCCTCTGCTGGGAATATTTTGAAGCTGCGCCCTGGTGTGGCATTTGTGTGTGGTGTGTGTGTGTGTGTGTGATGGCCATGTCAAAGCAAGGCAGTAGAGACAAGGAGAGCTGGGGAAACCCAAAGCCAGGAGGACAAGCCAAAATATTGGTTTTTCTTGTCGTGCCGTGTGAAATGCCACAGGCACACATTTCTGAACCATAAACGAGATCCATTTGAGAGCATTCTGAGTACTGGGAACGTGACAGTGGCACTCCTGCACCCAGTGATTTCTTTTCAAGTGCATAAGTGGGATATCAGAAAGTCGATATTTCTTGCGGGCGCTCTGTACTTTGCCAGCCATGCCACAAAGTGGGTTTTGTATGGCTGCAATTGCCCTGAGAATCTTTTTCACAACTAGGCAGCAGCTGACGGAGAACTCGGTGGACGTGAACCTGGCGGACTACGACGCGCGGACGGCTCTGCACCTCGCCGCCACCGAGGGGCAGCTGCTGGCCGTGAGCTTCTTGTTGGGCACAGCGCGGGCCAACAGCTCACCTCAGGACGGACCTGAACAACCGGGGGAACCCAAAATGGGTGTGTGGTGTGGTGTGGTGTGTCATATTTTTTGGGACTCGTTTGGGAAGCGGCTTAGGAAATCGGCAAATCGGCAACTCGCTTTCTGTGGTTTTTAAGGTTAAGCCATGAGGAGCCCGCTCATTTTGGGCAACGATTCGGGCGCGCCAGGACCGTTGGCTCTCCACTCCTTTGCAAGATGCCATCCGGGCAGGCCATACTGACTGCGCGCGCTTGCTGGCCTTTGCTGGGGCAGCCCTTGGTGACAGCGCCAATGACGAAGATCGCACGGCCTTACAGGACATCTATTCCGAGGACTTGCCATCCGCAGCCTGGGCTCACATCCAAGTCTTTCAGAGGAGGATGACTGACCTGCAGCAGAGGGTGGCGAGACTTCTGACAGCAGCCTGCGGGCAGCACTGATGAACCAAGCCCTCAAACGCAAGCGCTGTTTGCACTCGTTGTTTTAATGCCTAGGACTGTGAGTCAAGAGATGTCAGAATTCTCCGGAAACCGTTGAATTGGCCAAATGCCTAATCTATGGCTAGGTGCCAGCCCTCCTGTGGCCACTGGGAATGCTTGCAATGTAGATGTCCTGAAGTGTTTGCCAAGGTTCTCAAAGGTCGAGCGCGACCAGAAGTTTTCGATGCAGAAGCTTCCTCAAAGTTTAACCGGCAGCTGATTGGTGCAGTGCTCAAGCAGTGCCCGCAGCTGGCAGATCGGATGGCTGCTCGCTTTGCATTTGTCTGAAGGTCTGAAGATCACAGCTCCCAGCTGGGATCCGAGCTTTTCTCCAAGGAACGTTGTAATTATTTGTCTGGGTGTAAAACCTTTTCTCTGAGTTGAGGTTGGCATTCAAAATCTCCTGGGCAAGCTGCACAGCTCTGCGGTGGCCCCCATGCAGTCCTTCCTGGGGCTGCTGCAGGACTCCATCGAGAGCACGCAGCAGAGCAAGTGGTGGGCGTGGCACGACAAGCAGGCCAAAGAGGCGCGGAAGCCCGCGAAGGAAAGGAAGCGGAGCGGCGGCAAGGAGGCCAAGCTGGAAAAGTCCACGGGCACGGTGACCAAAATGATGGTCCAAACCATGGGCATCTGCTCCATATTGGTCTGAGCCCCAGCTGGAGTCACAGAACCTGAAGGATTTATCTGGGCACCTCCTGAAATCAGAGAAGAGCAAGCAAGCTTCGCTAACCCTCACGACTTCTGTTGCATGTGACAGCAACATATGGTCGTACGGCTTTCAGTGGGGAAGCAAACGTTCCTCATGCGCAGGGGTTGCTTCGGTCTCGAAAACACATCATTGCTGTGAACATTTGTTTCGGCTCGGGAAGATTGCTACACAAAAGTTTCATTGGAGAGTTGGTTTGCTTGTTTTCTGGAGATCGCGGAAGGAACTCGCCGTGCTGAATCGGCTGTGGTCTGTTTCCTTGTGCGCAAAAACAATCCCTAAATGTACACTACAACCCGCGCTGAAAGCCAACCATAACCAAACTTAAATCAGCCCTAGACCAAACTTAAACGAACTCCATCCAGCGTAAACCCACTCTAAACAGTAAGCCAGCCCCAAACACCTCAACCCGCCCGATACCATACCCACACCAAAACTCAACCTAAACCCACCATACAACCCACAGTAAACCAGCCGACCCTGGACCAGCCCTCAGAGAAGTTGCGAGTTTGGGTGACCACGCGGAGCCGCGACGGCATGCTAATAGACGTTACCAAATGAATCAAAGGCTGCTGTGATGAGCACCTCAACCTGTCTGGTGAAACGAGGCTGTCAGAATTCGGTTTAGGGTTAGTTGAGGATTGATGGAGGGCTGGTTTGGTGTTCGGTGAGCGATGTTTTAGGGAGTGTTTCGGTTGGGTTTAGGACTGGGTTTAGGGTGGCCTTAAGCTTGGCTGATGCCTCGGTAGGTTTAGGGTGGTTTTGCGTTTGTTCAAAGTGGATTGTACTGTGGGGGTGCGGCTGGCTTATGGTTGAGTTTAGGGGTGGAGCGTTGTTTACAGTTGGTTTAGGGTCGGTTTGGGGAGGGTGCTCTTTTCTTTCTTTTTTTTTGGGGGGGTCGGTTCACGGTGGGGTTATGGTTGTTAGGGTATGATTGTGGGTGGCAGCCGGGTAACGGCACTGGGAAGCAAACATAGTGGGGTTGAGGGGCGCAGCCCCCCGCCCCCGTATCACAATTTGCAATCAAAAAAGACGCTAATGGAAGAACTACGTGGCGCGCCCCTAAAACAAGGGACATTTAGAAGGAGCTTCCGTGTTACAGACACTAGTTGAAGTTGCGATCAGATTAGTGGGATTAAGCTCGGAGAAAAAAAAGTGAGAAAAGAAATAAAGGAAGACCGATAGAATAAAGGAACCACGACGGCCTGTTTGCCCGTGTCGCTAGCATACGCAGAGCTCCCGTTTAAATCGTTTCTTCAAGCGCGTTTTCCCAAAAAGCGTCTCTGATGCGACGAGTTCTCGTTCAGTGCTTCTGCGATGGGAGCGTTCATTAGTTGCGGACGGGGCCGTGCTGGTGGGATTTGGAGTCCGAGTTTTGGCAGACAGCCGCCTTGCTGGTGGGATTTAACCAGCGTTTGTGCAGCTCGAGACAGTTTCTGCTAGGCTTGAACAGGCCTTGCTCTGTGCCTGGCGTGGGTTGTCCAGCAGAATCCTCGTGTCAAGATCAGCTGCTTCGCAAGCCACTGACAAATTTGGTCTCATTGTTGGTGTGGGGGTGGCCGGTTGGCCTTCAGTTTTTCATGGCATGACTGCGCCAAAAAAAGCCTCCTCTCTTGTCAGCCTTGACGGGCCAGACCGGCGACGGTCCCTGTCGGGCCCGAACAATGAAACGACATTGACCGGACAGGCCACAAGTTGGTAGATAGACAAGCAGATAGAACGATAGACAGAGAGATGGAGAGATAGACCGGCAAAGAGTTGAAAAGATAGCGGAATACAGAGATAGAGAGATAGAGGGTAGCAAAAACAAGAGATGGAGAGGGGTAGAGAGAAATAGCGACAGAGAGATACAGAGATTGACAGAGAGCTTTAGACTGCTGGATAGATGGATAGACCGAGGTAGATGGTAGGTAGATGGATAGAGAGAGAAAAGGACAGGAACGTGAAAGAGAGAGAGAGAGAGAGAGAGAAAGAAGGGAAAGACAAAGAGAAAAGGGAAGAAAGGGAGACGATGGAGCGAATGAGAAAGAGAAACAGACACAGAAAGAAGAGAAAGAGAAGAGAGAAACCGAGAAAGATCTCGAAAAAGATAATTACAAAGAGAAAGAGATAGAGACAGAGAAAGAGAAAGACAACGAGAAAGAGAAAGAGACAGAGGAAGAACAAGAGAGAGAGAGAGAGAGAGAGAGAGAGAAAGAGAAAGAGATAGAGAAAGAGATAGAGAACGAGAGGGACAGGAAGAAACCCAGCAACTATCCTTCTTATGTATATATATTTATATTTGAAGCTTCCGCCCACTGGCTTTGCTGGCCCTTCTGGTACTCAAAGAACAAAAGGTTTCCATTTCCATCGCAAAGAATTTCGCTTGTTGCTCCAGTTTAGAGAAAACCTGACTCTATGCATACTCCTGGGAACAGCCCGCTAGGTTCAACAAGACTTCCAAAGAAGACGAGGTGAGATGGATATCGTTTTTTCAACCTACCGGTCGCCTCCGCCATAGCCGCGTTGTTGGGAATGACCCAGCTTCTGCCCATGTGGTCTAGCTGGCTCTGCTATCACCAATCGCCAGGACGACTTGATTTGCAAACAGAGACCTTGCCAACCTGAAATGTGCAGTTTTTGCCAGACATGATGCCACTCTGGCTTTGGCCGTGCCCTTTCCTGGGTGATGCGCAGAGCAACGCGCTTACTCTTTGCAAAGGGGTTTGTCATCCACTAAGAGGTTCTCGCTAAGCGCCTACTGTGCTTGCACAGTTCTTTTTTTGTGAGCCAACATGTGTATGCATTTATTCCACGCTCTTTCTACTTGACTGCTAGTCCCAAGCCGCTTTCATATGGCAGCTTTGCAGCATCTCTAAGGCACAAGCGGTCAACCGAGCTTCTGCTCAAATCCTGGCGAAGGTGAGCAAGGAAATGAGCAGCCGCCTTTTGCAGACGAAAGTCTACATTATCGATGAGGAGTACCTGTCATCCCTGAAATCTGCCCACTCCGGTGACGGATCTGCACCTAGCCAGCGCAGCTCAAGACGACGCGGGGGCGCTGCCCGAAGCGTAACAGGCTCCATCAATGGCGGTACCTCCCTCAGTCAGCCGTGTTTTGCTTTTTGAGAATGAACGCAACAGGCCAGGGGTGGCGCGCACTGTATAGCGCAAGGCCAGTTGTTTGATTGAGATTTGGCCTTTGAGGGGCGTGTCCTCTGAGGTCGAGCGGCCTCAGTCAGAAGTGGCAGGACGCAGCAATCAGGCATGGAGGAGACAGACGATCCACGAGAGGCGCGAGGCACCCTCAGCGTGATCTGCATAGAGGCCATATTTGCAGCCTTGCAGTGGGAACTGGACTGGACAGCCCCCTCTTCCGCCAACTATGGCATCAATGCGGGCCCCATGAAGAAGAAGTTGGAGGAGATTGCAAGTCTTCTGGCAGGTTCCGCTTCAGGAGCCATCCCCGAGGCCACAGACTCTGTGCTGCACACTTTGTGTAGCGACAAAGTGGCCTCAGCTCGTGCGCAATGCGTTCAGCGTGCCTCTGAGCAGGTGCAAGGTGCCAAACGCCACCAGGTCTGCCATCTGAATGCACCCATGGCCAATGAGCTGGCGATTCTTGGGCTGCTAGCCTTGGTGCAAGTTGCGCCAATGAATATGGATTGCCATCCCAGCAATGACAAAATTCTCCAGAGGACGGATATCTGCGTCTTGCGGGCTAGCATGGAAATGGCAACAAACGACGTGAAGGGTGATATCTCCAAAGCCCGCAGGGAGATGACCAAGCAAGGTCGGGCACCGAGAAAGCCGGGCAAAAAATGGCTGAACATAGGTGGGCGGTTCGGCTCACAGAACACACAGCCAGTGACGGTGGGGCGAATTCTCAGCACCCAGCGGGACTTGCCATCCAGCGATATTTGCGCGCTGCTGGATTTTCAGGATCCTGATGTGCACATCACCCAGGGCCGAGGCGAGAGCGATGACGATGCTGAAGCAGGAGGCAAGAAGAAACACAAGCGCAAAGAAGACATCCACATTCTGCCCCACAAGGCCACCCTTGGCAGCATGAGCTCCCTTCGGTTCCAACTGAATTTGCTTCGCTACGTTTTGGACTTTCCGAGCCTGCAAGAAGAGGCAATCGAGGAGGAAGAGGCAAAGTCTGGGCAGCAGTCGCAGCTGGATCATGAGCCGGAAGCACCAGAAGCGTCAGAAGAAGTAATAGAAACTTTGAGCTCTGGAGAGGTGGTCGTGCTCGACAAGGGCTACTTTGACTGCTGGGGGCTGAGTTGTTTCACCTCTTCAGGTCAAGGTGAGGGAAGCGCTGAAGGTGGTTCCATGTCACCGGTCGTATTTCCTTGTTTTCGCTGACAGGTTTGGAATCGCTGGAGGACGAAAGCGAGGACAGTGGCGACAGCCAAGCGAGCAACAGCCACAACGAGGAACGTAGCGAGGACAAAAATAGTCACGAGGACAAGACGACGTTGGCTACCAAGCACTTGCGCCAGGGACTGGCCTCAGGACTGCTATGGCTAGCTGGGAGCTGCGTGCTTTGCTTTTTGTTAAACATGTCTTTTGGGTGTGGCCACGTAGACTCTGAGAGGCAGTGAGGGCAAGTCCGGTGCAGGAGCAGCGCGCCGCATACGCATGTCCAAGATGCTTGGGACCTTTGCCTCCTTCTTTGCCATGCTCCGCGGCAGCGATGAGGCGCAGAGAGCCCGTACCAGGGCACGGGTTGCCCGCAGATTCCGAGAGCTGGATGAGGACGGAGAGGGCATTCCTCTAGCGGATGTAGCCACGCTCTTGACAGATGTCCTGGGCCGACAGCTGGACCGAGATGCGATGCTCCGCCTAGCCGCAAATGTCTTTGACAACGTGGAAAAGAGTGAGCAGGAGCTCCTGCAAATTCAGGACGTGCTTGTCTCCCTCGACTCCGTAACCATTGACTTCAATGCACTTGTGAAGCGGAGGCAGCAGCATAGCTCTGGACAGGGTAGCGCTGAAGAGGACACGTCTTGGGCGTGGGTGCAGCGGGTGGCTGGCATGGTCATTCCACCTGACTCAAGGTCACTCTGGCTCTGGGACCACCTCAGGGTGCTGGTAGTCACGTATTACATGCTGGAGACCCCGGTGCGCTTTGCCATTTTTAACTTTGACAGGCTTAACCGCTCATCAGCGTTGATTCTGCTTGTTGTGAATATGTGCTTGGACATGTTCATGGCAGCCAACATGCTGCTGACTTTCATCCGCGGCTATGCGCAGAACTCTGGTGTGGTCATTATGGACTTTCATCGGATTCGGGTCCGCTATTTGCTTGGCTTCTTCAGCTGGGATGCGGTGGCATCCTTTCCGATTGACTGGCTGATCTCGGGCTTGCAGCCAACGCGCGCATATGCTACATTCCGTTTGCTGAAGCTTTTGCACTTGCGCCACTACTGGGCGGATGGGCACCACAAAGCCTCTGAAAACAGCGGAGGAGGATTTCTGGTCACCACGGTCCGCATCATGCTGCAGGTTTTTGTCCTCCTACACTTTGGGGCATGTGGGTTTTGGTACATTGCGAATGGCTGGCCAAGTGAGGCCGAGTTTCAGGAGCAGCGGGCCCCGGAGTTTGCAGGCAGTGGGTGGTTCCGCTCGTACGACGGCATGTCGTTCCCAGAAGGTAGGTTCAACCAGCCTGACGTACCTGTTCTGGATCAATACTTGGTGTCGCTCTGGGCAATGGCTGTGATCCTGACTAGCGACAGCCATGAGCAACTGAACCCTTCTAGCTGGGGGGAGCTTGGCTGGATCCTAGGCAGCTTCATTGTGTCCGTCGCTTTGCTGGGTCACATTGATGGCGCCCTTGTCGGAAAGGTCATCTCTCAAGATCAAAGCACCGTCGAAGATCGCGTGATGAAGAGCCGGGTTGACACCTTCATGCAGAACTCGGGGCTGCCGCCCGAGTTGGCAGAGCAAATTCGGTTGGCTGACACCTCGGGCTCAGCAGTTTCCTCCAAGACTGAGAAGACAGTCGACATCCGGAAAATGGAGAGCGTGCTGCAGGGCTTATCCCGTGGCTTGCTTACACGGATTGGCCGAAGGGTGTTTTTGAGGTGGCTGCAAAGTGTACAGCTCTTCGGAGGTTGCTCAGAGCCTTTCCTGCTACAATTGGCCGCCACCTGCCGGCAAGTCACGTTGTCCGCGGGCTCGTTTGTCAGCAGAGTTGGAGAGCCTTCCAGCTTTCTGGCTATCTTGCGGTATGGATCTGTGCAGATCCGTGACTCCAACAGCCAAGAAGTGGACAGAGTAGAAGAGAAGGGTATAGCCTTTTGTGATGTGTCATGCCTGTTCGGTTTGAGGCACAAGACTGCCGCGATCTGTGAGGAGGAAACACAGCTGATTAAGTTGCAGGCAGATGACCTCCATTTTGCACTCCAGCTATACCCAAAGGACAAGGAGCTAATCAACAACAATGTGCTGGAGATCATGCCTGACACTTCCAGTTTGGGGCAGGAGGCGGAAGGCGCAGCCATTCCTTTGCACATGATCGGCCAGTCGGGATCTGATAGGCGCAAGCGCAGGACCTTGCCTGGAACCCCGGCGCGAGACTTGATGGCTGACCTGTGGGTCCATGACCTGAATCTTGACGGGGTTGCTCGAGTCAGGGAGATGATCAACAAGTCCGCAGAAGCAAAAGCGCAGCAGCGCATCAATGACTTCATCGATTTCGCCGCCAAGGGGAAGTGGGACAACATGGAGATTATGCTCAAGGACCGCAAGGTCGCGGTGAATGCTGGGAACTGGGACGCGAGGACCGCATTGCACGTTGCCGTGAGTGAAGGCCACTTGTCCGTGGCGGAAAGGCTCGTGACAGATTGGTCTGCCAATCTCATGGCCGAAGACAGATTCGGCAACACTCCTTTGGATGATGCTGTCCGAGAGAGACGCGCAGAAGTGGCGGAGTTTCTCGTTGAGGCGGGGCAATGCTGTGACATACGGCATTGTACTGGCCAAGACGAAAAACACAAACACCTCCCAAAATAAAGCAACACCAAATCCTAAATTAGAATCGACCTTTTCATGCCGTCCTCCCAGAGCCAATCAGCTGGCCTTAAGTGACACGAATCGTGGCCAATTTAAGACAAAGGTAAACCCAGGTTGCCGCACTCAACGCATTGACAGGTCCCCGGCCTTTGACTTGTGCAGGCCAGCGCTGAATTCAAGGGTGGTGTGGCGGCCGCAGTGCAACTCTGCGAGGCGGCGGCGCAAGGGGACACCCCACAACTGGAGCTGTTGGTGGAGGCGAGGGGTGGGAGGGCGCAATCCGCGAAGCGGCTGCCAAGGTCTGTGACCCAATTCGTATGAACAATGTTCGTATTTCCATGGTCTCCGGCTTAGGGTTGCATGTGGACTGTTTGCAAATACAGAACCTATCAAGGGCAACACCTCATTCTGCGAAGCGCTGTTGTGTTGCTTATCCCGTGGGCCTGTTCAACGAACAAAGCTTGGGTCCTCGCCCCCTCCGCGTCGCCTTTTGCATCCTCCCAAAGATGATGGGGCGCAAAACTTGTCCGGCCCGGTACGCTGTCCCACTTTTTCAGCATCCAGGACCCAAACCAAAGCAGAATGTCACCAATGGCATCCGGAGCATCCAGGGAACCAACGTGATGGTCCTATCTCCAAAGTGTGACGCTTTTTTTTGCACATGTTGCTTGCTTTTTAAAAGCAAGCAAGCGACTGAATGAAGAATGCGGGTGTGGTTTTGAGCCAGGGAGAGCCCATGAAACACAATTTGCCCAATAGACTTTGGCTTGAAAAGGAAGTACAAACGAAGACACCTGATCAATAATTCCCCATCGACATGTGCGATTGGCGTCGGCGGATACGCTTGTTTGCCGTTGACGGACCGCGCCCTCGGATCTCAAACGGTGAAGCTGCGCAGGTAATCGGTGTGGACCCCAACCTGGGAGATTATGATAACCGCACTGCCCTGCACCTCGCAGCCTCCAATGGGCATTTGGAATCCATCACCCGCATGCTGGAGTTCGGCTATTTGGAAGCTTGGCTGCTTAGGGGAGGCAGTGCATGGGCTGTCACGGCGCTGTCCTGGGCTGAACTTTGCTGAGGACTTGAGCCCGCTCGACCGCTTTGGCCAGACACCGCTGGATGATGCTATTCGCCATGAACATGTGGCTGTACAGAAGCCGCTTGCCTGCTTTAACCCTACCACGGGAACGCCACAGGACATGCTTAGGTTTTCGACGGCACAAGGAAGGCAACATTTGTTGGCTGGCATGTCATCAAGCAGTCCCAGATTGAGTCTGGATTGCTGGTCAGGCTGCTTCGAAGTGAGGGTGCCCAGATGGGCAACGTCGAGTTCGGGGTTGCGCTGTGCGAGGCGGCGGCTGAGAACGACCATGTCGCTAGGATGCACCAAGAGCTGCTGACTAGCCAAGGGTCTGTTTCGGATTCAGGGCTGAGAATTTCGACCGGAGCATTAAGGAGAAGATTCGGCAAATGATTGAAGCAGGCGTGAAGGCAGGGATGGCGGATTATGACTACAGGACAGCCTTGCACTTGGCGTCTTCTAATGGCAACCTGGAGACTGTGGTCTTCCTTTTGCGCGAAGGCCATGTCGATCCCAATCCCTTAGACCGCTTCTTGAACACGCCGTTGGACGATGCCGTGCGACACCGACATCAAGATGTGGTGGAGCTCCTCATGAAGTACAGGGGCCGACCCTCCAGCGATGATGAGTACTTGAGTGCTGGGAGACAAGACTTCCTGAAGAAGATGGAAGAAGAAAAAGCGCGCAAGGACACCGACAAATTGGACAAGGAGTTGAAGACGCATCGCTTCTCAGATGTCTTGGAACGTTTGGGTCGCTTGGCATCGGAGTTGGAGGATGACGCCTACCACTTCGCAACCGCGGCCACAAACGTGAGATATTCGCTGACCCGGATCCTTCATGTGTCCATGCTCATGTGCGATGACATGAGCCAAAGCAAGGAGTACGACAAGCTGACAGATGTCATGAATGAAGGTGCTCTCACGACGCAGAAGCTTGTCACGCTGATGGAGCGGGACCTGAAACAGCTTGATAGCAGTGCGTCCCGGATATTGAAACTCATCTCAGGTGAAGTCATGCCATGGCTGAACGCAGCTACGAACAACTCCCACACCCGTGGGCTAGTCAATCTTCTGATGCCAAGCTTTGCAAAGGACTTGTCAAAGCTGGTTGCAGTGCTGAACCACGTGAAGGCGTTGCTTCCTCGCGTCATCGGCCAGCTAGTCTCTCCTGCAGGCCTTGGATATGATTGTCGAGTCTTTGGACTGATTTGTCAAAGGCCGGGGTGCACACACATGCATGCACAAGTCGCGTGTCGAGCCCGACATTTTGTTCAACATACGGAACAACATGGAACAACTCACTTCATGGCCTTGCCAGCACGCGTGCATATGACCATTCTGATTGGCCTGCCTGCCGCAAGGTTCTCGAGCAGACGATGGGCCGACATGCAGGATGGAGGGTTGGCGCTGCTTTGAAGGTGTAATTTGTTTCTCGAGTTTGCTCATGTTATATATATTTTTTTGGGTCCGGCCGTGCGCTTGCTCTAGATCGAGATTCAGGGATTTGAAACATGCCAGCTTGCCAAATGCGTTCTGCTCATGTGGCATGCACCCAAACAGCGGTGCCAATCAGCTGCCACGCTGCCAGGAGATTCTGGAGCATTCACTGCAGCTGCTTTGCAAAACCTCATCAGGCAAAGCCCAGCCCCCCTGGCCGAACCCGCCCAGATCCAGAGAAGCAGCTCAGCTGTTCAAGGACAGAACGCGGGTGATGCTGCCTAGATTGGTTTCAGCAATGTTGAAGGTTGAGGTTTGGGGTTTCACGCCGGGGGAAATGACCCCACGATGGCTCAAAACAAATTCGTGAGACCGCCACAAACGGTCATGTCCCAGTAGGTGTAATTCCAGGATGTCAGATGATACAACAACCTCGGGTTATGGCAGTGTGCAGCAGTCTGACAATCTCATGCGAACCTCAATCAAACACAGCAGCTCCAGGTTACCTTGAAACCATCCACCCGCCAAGTTGAAGCCAAGCCAGTTGGGCCTAAGCCAATCCTGAGGCCACCAATCCTCTATCCCTCACGAACCAAAGGGATGATCACCAGATGCCTTTAATTTAAGTCACACCTGCAGGGACATGCGCCAGGAGTCACGAGTGGCAAGATCTCTGATCCATGGAATTGAGCGACCTCGCTTCAAGCCGCCTCAAGAATTGCTGAAGCAGATGGCCGCGCAAGAGAATGATTCTCTATGATGTGCTCTGTCAGATGACTTGCGTGCCATGCTTAGCTGATGACACTCCAAACAGGAATCCTTTTCCTCTCTGAACTGATTGGTACTTTCGCTGCGTAGTGCCAGGCTACAAAGAAGGATTCTCTGTTGAATGTTTTCTCACAGGCTGTGCTTTTGTGGTAATCCACTATGCTGAGCGATGCCTAGGTGATAAGAACGATGTGCCGCTCGGAGAGGTTACGATTGCTGGAGGGTGTTTGATGACTGCTTCCGTGTTGTGCTAAATTGCTCAGCCTGAGGCGTCTGACAGATGGCAAGCTCATCGCGCGCTTTCTGATGTTTTGCAGGGGAACTCGGTGCACAATTCATGCATGATGTACGAAGAGAGAGCCGGCAACAAAATGCCCGTGGCAGTCGATCGCCTCCGATTTGTTTCACTTGCATGCCACCCACCGGATTTGGGCTGGGAGCACAAGCCTTAGGGCTGCGAGCTACTCCAATGCTTTGTATCAAAGAGCAAGCTTTCCTCTGCCTGCACTCGGTATCCAGGCATTGATTTCTTGAAGGACGTGGCCCAAAGCGACATTGTTCAGTTGAATTATTATATATGCAGCAGCCGTTGCCCCGTCACATCCCCGGTATAGCGGCATCTTTGCCGCGATAGTGCGTCGTTTGGAGCTTACCACGTGGAATAGTCCCTACGTGTGTAGCCGTTGCATCTTCCCAACTAGCTGCTAAGCAGCCAGTGACATCTAGACGTTTCATGGAAGATATCCATCACGTTATATTTGGACAGATTGTGTGTTTCAACTCGTGCGGAAAATGACTCGTTGTTGTTTGTGCATCTACAGCGTCAATTATCATCGATTGCTCGGCGATGGCAACGGCTCTTCTCCAGGTTACTCATTGCAGCACAGGCTGATCATTTTGCCAAAGCCAGCGAGGATGATGAGATGCCTGGCACCAAGGGCTCCCTCTTACCACCAGTTTTGCCTCAAGCACTCAAACCACATTCCTGCCCACGTTCCTGCCCCACATTCCTGCCAGAGTGAAGGTGCTGCAATACCAGGCACGTGGCATATAGATCATCGTCTATTCGCCAGGGTTGTCAATGTTCAAGCATTTGACGCTTCCAACTGGTCATTCGATTGTTCTGCTCAGAAATCGGGCTCTCCAATGAGGCCGGAGGAGATGGAAAAGAACCTCCGGAAGCGGCAGCTTCGGCGTGAGGCAGCCGCCTCCCAATTTTTCTGTCTGGGTCAACACAAATCAGCACGTTTGGGGGCTCCTCCTCTTGCGAGGAGCTTTGTGTCGTTGTTTTCTCGGTGTAGTTTCTAAGCCTCAAGGAGCGGATTGCGGCTTGGGTTTGAGGATGAGCTTTAGGGATGGACTATTGGGCCTTGGTTTTCCGATGCGGCACAAGGTTTCGATGCACGAATTGCAGCGCGGAGTGTGGATTGAGAAGAAGAAGACCCCCGACCAGTGGACTATGCGGATTAATGATTAGTTACTTTTCTTATGTTGTCCAAACTTGTTTTGGGAAAACGGGGACTGGGATGTCATAGTGCCAAGTGCTGTTAGCTTCACGCACTCCGGTCGGGCTTGTGAACTCGGTTGAGTGAATGCCTCGGGGCCATTTTGGCTCAAGTCCTTGACTTGATCCCCGGTTCGATCACGGATCTGTTCTTTTAATTCTCTCCCAGCTAGCATGGCAATGGCCATGGAAGACGGCGGGGAGTCTACCGCGATGGAGCTGGGGAACCCTGGGCCGGGGACGGCTGCTCCAAGCGCTGTATCCCTCCAGGGTGGACAAGCAGCCGGTGGAGCTCAAAGAGACCACTGACCTTTTGAGTCCGCCTGGTTGCTCTACTGATGCCTGGTTTTTCTACGCCGCCCAGGAACCTGGGCTGGTTTTTCTCCGTGACGGTTGCTGGGTATCTGGATTCTGGATTTCCACGAGTCTGGATTTCATTTAACTCGGGGTTCCACGAGACCGGGATTCAATCGAACGCGGACGTGTGCGGAAAACAGGGGTATGAAGATACCCTTAATCCGATGAGGGCCGGCAGAAAGCTGACACAGCCTGAAGGCTGTGTTCGCAGCTCTGCCCGCCCTCAAGTTTTGGATTTTTTGCCACTCACGCGGTCTTGGGAAAAAGGCTCTTGTGGAAGCGCTGCAGACTGCGCTGTGACATTGGGATAATGCCCGCGCGGATTTCGAGCGGGCTGGATATTGCACTGGCGCCGGCGCCGCTCACCACCCACCACCCGGCAACCCACCACCCACACTCACCACCACCAGCGCCTCTTGCTGACCATGAGGGCTTGTGTCCACCTTGCCAATACCCTGAGAGCTTTTGCCAGCGCTTCAACCAGCACCGACGCGCTGACTGACTAACTGACTGGCTGCTTGCTTGCTTGCTTGCTTGCTTGCTTGCTTGCTTGCTTGCTTGCTTGCTTGCTTGCTTGCTTGCTTGCTTGCTTGCTTGCTTGCTTGCTTGCTTGCTTGCTTGCTTGCTTGCTTGCTTGCTTGCTTGCTTGCTTGCTTGCTGCTTGCTTGCTTGCTTGCTTGCTTGCTTGCTTGCTTGCTTGCTTGCTTGCTTGCTTGCTTGCTTGAAAGCTTGCTTGAAAGCTTGCTTGTTTTTCTTTACGGAAGTTTGTTTGTGGTGATCTTTACGCTTCTCTTTGGCAGGTCTTTTGCGCTGTGAACCTCAGGGAGAGATGTGCGCGGTTTGTGCGTTGCCCAGTTGCAGCGTGGGGCTGGTTTGTGCGTTTCCAGTCTTGGGGCGAGGTCTACGGCCGTGATGCAGAGGGCTTTGAGGCGGAGATGTGCAGAGATGGCTGGGCATGACTTTCGGTCAATGAATCTGGGGCCTTATTGTGCATGCTGACTTGGGCGAGCTTGCCGTGTAAAGGCAGGACATAGATATCCTCACTGCTACGTAGGCAGTGCTGGTGCAAATTTGGCCATAGAGCTTGGAAGGAGCAAATGAAGCAAGAAGCGCAGGAGCTGGCCGGGGCCTTGAGTGAACATTGGCCACACTTTTTTCGGCCAACAAACACCATCTGACCGAGAAGGCCAGGATGCGCCTCAGCCCAGACACTACGGACATGTCCAAAGCGGACACATGCGTGTGATGTCTCCCATGTCTGCATTTGTTTGCCCTCTCGCTTGCTTTCACCTCACTTGCTGCGACGCAATGCGCTAAAGGCCTCTTCACAGTTTGGGCCAGAGCTGCTGTCGGCTCTTGGGGAGCCTGGCGCTTAGGTCCCCGCGAGAAGGGATTGAATGTGGGCATGGCATATGTCAGAATGATATTTCTGCGACACCTGTTACGGAGTGGCATGGATCTGACACCTGCACCTCCAACTCAGCGGACATTTCGGAGTTGTTTGCTAGCTGCTTGTTGCTTGCTCACTCTTCGGCGAAGTTCTTGAAGATGTTTGAGGCTGAAACGCCGCTTTGGTCACACATAACTAGATGCGGCGTACAAGTGGTTGCGTTGTGCTTGCGGGCCAAGGATGTACCTGGCACGTTCAGAGTTCTTGCCTGAGCAACCACACGCTCAGTCCAGGAAAGTTGAAAGCCAGGTGCAGCTGGTTCTGTGAATGAGGGTTCCAACACGCAGCAAACACAGTGATGAAGCAGCTAAGGATATACCTTGCGAATGAGCTTCACGGTCGGATTTCGCTGACAAAGTCTCGTGCTTCCATGAAGCACAATAGTGGGCAACTCGGTGCACGTACCGGAAGTGAGCTGTATTTTGCCTGCGTCAGGTCTTGTCCTCAAGCACCGTATGCACTTGGCCAAGCCACGGCCAAAGAAATCTATTCAAAGTCACTGGTGCGCGATTTGTTTGTATAGGAACGCTGCTGGGAGCATTTTCAAAGCTGGCAAGGCGTGTGACTCCTCTTGCACTTTGTTCGTGCGATTTCTAGCCATAGAGTTCGGTCGAATATCCAGTAACAAGGTATCTTGACTGGCTCATAGGTTGTTCGTCCTTGCAGGTGTACAGTGCCGCCTCAAAGGTTCCAAAAGAGGAGTCCGAAAACACAGGCCAGTCTGCCATGTCGCCCTTTCACCTTTGTGCCCGTAGTCTTGCTGCAGACCACACGTGTGCGTGAGTGCAGGCGGAGATCCACCTGTTTCAGAAGAGCAAGCGCAGGAGGTGATCTGGGCAAGCAACGCATGAGCGACGTTTAAAAGTTTGGAGAGATCGGAATCTCCGTGTGCCCCCTTTTGTTCATTCATTGGGGCAATATCCGCTGTGATTGTTCCATCTTGGGCCAGGTGGAGGCTGCGTTTGACGATGCGTTGCCGCTGTTCCTCCAGACTGCCTGGTCCTATGTCGTAAGGGACATCGACAAGACGGTGGCCTGGCTGCAACGACTCGGCACGTTGCAAAGACTAGTCAAGGAGGACAAAGCATGCAGCATCTGCTGTTGTTTCAAGAGTCTCGACTCTTCTGAGTGTGTTTATGTCTGGCGATTCTTAAATGACATGGCCCCGCACTGAGGTCAGGGAGGTGGGGCGGAAGTTTTTGCAGGACAAGTCAGTGTGAGAATCCCGGCTACCTTCTTGTTTGTTGCGTTGTTCACGCATGTCTGTGTGTGACTGTCAGAGGCGGCCAACGGAGAATGACATGTTGGAACGACACAGGCTTCACTTTTGCTTCCGCATAGGCCTTGGCAAATTCGCATCCGAAGAGCTCAAGCTTTGCAGCTGCTGGGTCTTTCTCTCAGTCAGGTTAGCATGGTGTCACTTGTGTGACTTTTGGTCCGGCCAGGACAAGTTTTTTCCACACAGGGCGCAAGCGGCAAAACGGCTGGGGCTGGGGCGGCGCCAGAAGGCAGGTGGGATCCCACGGATGGCCGTGTGCCTCGCAGCTGACCTGAGGCGGTCCGGAATCGCAGGCCAAGGCAGTCCTGCAAGAGGCGCGAGGGATGCCGGTAGCTGCAAGAAGCATGGCGCACATTGCAGGCAGTGAATGTGTTAACACATTTGGCCATGAGCCAAATCCCGTACCCCCAGTGAACATCCCAATCCCCACAAAAATAGACTAAAATGGGTGGTGCACCTACCCCAAAATGGCACCATTGGTTTTGGCCCACAGCCATTTGACGCATTTTGCGCATTGTGCGTAGCCTTGGGGGCGCTTTGCGCAAGGCCATGCTGGGAGCCATGCGCCTGTGCCTGATGGGCCAGGGCTTGCACTGGCCATTGGCACAAGGAGTGTCGTTCTGTTTGACTGCGGAGGTTGACGTGAACACCTCCTGTCGCTCTACAACCAGACCTCGCACTTGGTGATGCAACTCTTTTGCCCAGAGCTTCAGGATGGGCGACCAGACAACTTGAGGCTTGATCTTCATCAGCTAATTAGCTGTTTTTGCAAATGCCAGTGACAGCATTATTAACAGTTGGCCGTCATTTCTGTACAGTTCCATGGTGGCTGAAGGCCACGGCATCGCACAAGCAGAGAACAGACGAGGTGCCTCGCCCAAAAGCAATAACGTGTTGCTTCAGCAAGCGGCCTGTAGCTCATTCACTCCACGGGTGCATCTGAGCTGAGCACTTTTATGCTGCCTGCTGCTGAAGGGCATGAGATCCTTGCTTCCGCCGCACCTCCTCCTTGCACAACCTGTTGGAGTCATTGACTGCAGCATTAGCTCTGCGACATCTTGAGCTACTCATCACATGGAAGCATGGCAGATATTGGCAGTGGACGACAATGCCTAGCGGTCACCATGACTTTGACATGCTTACTTGCATGCATCACACCTATGAAGAGAGCCTAGCGAGTCTAGTTTTCAGTCGACTGACATATATTTACATAGCAGTCCGCACGCTTGCGCAAACCTCAGACTTCACGGGGGCCAGATGCGTCATGCCGGGGAGATGGATCTACGTGGCGGCCTCGGACGCGGTTGTTTCCGATACTTTCTAACATATTTTGCCTCCTAGCTTTGGAAGGGCTGGCTCAATAACCGTAGCGGTCAATGACTACTCTTGTGAAAGAGATCGGATTGGTTCCCAAGTCATCTCTTTGTTTCCAACTGCCATGGCTGGCCCTCACATTTCGGAACCCGCCAAAGCCCCGCATGGCATTTTGCAACCTGCGCTTAGCTCACTTGGACGCGAGGCCACAGACCCTCAAGACGTAGAGGAGTCCACTTTTGTGTTGCCAGCGGCCAGCGGCCTCACATTCGATGGGTTCTGGGAGACTTGGGGCATTTGGGAATTGTTGGCAGTTTTTCAATGCTGCGTACCGCTTTTTGAAATGCCAGTGGTGTACTTTTGCATTTGCACAGTTTGTTGTTGACTTGTGAATCTTTCAATTCAGCCGAAAAGTAGCCAGCTGCCAACGTATTGCCAAGGAAGCCACAATGGCGACTGCAGACGGCACCTGTGGAACAGTTGTCATCATTTCAGGCCAAAATGTTTGGCACGAAGGCTCCCGCTTTGCCGGATTGAAAGTTTTGAACGTGGAGACTTGCGTTCTGATCATGGACGACGAG